GCGCTGCGACAGCGTTTCGCCGAGCTCGACTGTTGGGCCACGTGCTGCGGCTGAAGGAAGAGTCCCTCTTACCATGCTTTCTTACTAAAACTGTGGTTGTTCGCTTCTCAGCCCCGCCCAAGGCGTCCTGAATTAGGTCGTACCAAAATCATGCCACCCATCGTTGTGCACCGCGACCTCCAGTCGCTGACGTCGCCTCAGTTGCAGGCATCCCTCGAGGACCCCAACAAACTACGTAGCTCTGCCGCCGATCGCGACGCCAGCTCACGAAGCCTATAAGAAATTACTGAACTTGTCGTTACGGGTCACTCGCAAGCGCCCTCGGGCGACGACAAAAGAGCACGACGCTGCCCTGCGTCGCCACCTGCGTAACCACGGCCCGCCAAGTGAATTATGAAGTTGATTGCTAGTCCCTACACATGCGAGATCTTAGTAGCAAATAAGAAAACGCGAAACGCGTTCATTTCTGCTGAGTAAGCCCTATCTCGGAAGGCAAAATCAACAGAATCTCAACAATGCATCCCCGCTTGCACAAATAACTTGTCATTGTTGTTGGTAAATACTTTGCTTTATTGTGCCTTAGTACATTTTATCATTTTGTAGTGCTTGAGAGGGGTGATTGAATGCATCATGGTGCACCGCCATGCCTGATGCCCCGCCTTGAATGTCTCAAATCGCACTTAACGATTTCGCACTTACACGGGTATTTTCTGATGCGCAGCTCGACGGGGAACGTGCGATCGGTGCGTCCTCGTCATTGGTAGCGGAACTGACGTGTGATGAGACCGTGCTGTATAGGTGTGTCTTGTGCCTACAGGCCTCCTAAACATGGAGGGGAAGGTCCTTCCGAATGCGCACGCTTTTGCGGACCTGAACGACGACAGCGACATCGAGCTCGTCGTTGGTTCCATGGCCGGGAAGGTCGCCGTCTTCAAGGTGTTACGCGCCTGCACTTGATATCTCTCTTATGCATGTCTGCAATAGGGCCTCTCGTCGCCGGAAGCAGTCTATGGCTGCGAGCTTGATGGCTGCATCACTGCGATCGTCGCACATACGACGCGGACGCTCGGCTGCCGCCTCTTTGTCGCGACCGCTGAAGGCCGATGTTTCGTCTTGCAAAAACGCGCAGACGCTGACGCACTCATGCTCCTTGCACAGTTTGTATGCTCGTTGCTTTGGCAAAAATCGTCATCAGAATGGCGTAGGCAATTCCACTAAACGTGAGCGCTGGTGCCGTGCTTCACGATCGACTGTACCTCGGCACGCGCGACGCGACGATTCATCTCTTCAACATTGAGCACGTAAACTCGTCTTGTTGTGAGTGAATCGTTGCTGAAGTCAGCAACACCATTAGGTCCAAAACATCACTGAAGAAAAGAAGATCCGCGTCCCCGGTGAAGTCGAGTCTATGACGCGGCAGAAAATAAAGTCCCATGGGCATACTGGCGCTTCGGACGCGCGACCACTTGTCGTGTGCTTGAACAACGGCGCTGTCTTTGAGCTCAAGCACTTGACATCCATGGTGCAGCTGCAGGCGCCGTGGCCGAGCGGCGGCCGGGCGTTTGCACTCACGCAGCTCAAGTCGCAGGGTGTGAACGCCCTCGATGCGTTTGGCTGTCTCGACGGTGCCGTGGAGCTGCGCCATGCTGAGACCAGCGACGTGCTCTGGTCTCTCCAGGTATGCCTTTCTCGATATTGCCTACGATTGGATGGAATCGATAACTGCGTAGTTACCAGACGCGCTACTGATGATGGCAACAATCACTCTCTTCGCGAATGGTGATGAAGAAATCGCGCTTTGTTGCTGGAACGGCGACGTGTACCTCGTCAACAAAGATGGCTCCCAGCTGCGGTTTACGATCCCGTTTTCGATCACTGCGTTCTTTTCAGGTACGACGACTCGATGCATTGTCAGGTGCAACTATACTATACGGGCTGTTTAGGAGCGTTTGCGGTCGGTGGCGAAGACACACTCTTTTGCGCCACAACGTCGGGAGGCATTTTGTACTACAGCGGCATTGGCCAGTCGATCCGCCATATTCGGCATCACAGTGTGGTACTAGCTCAAAGGAGGTGTCCAAATGTTTGGTAAATTCACGTGACATCCACCGTAGCTCGAAGCAATCGAGAGAGCGGATCTTCAGTCGACACTGGGCTCCAGCGAGAAGCGTCGTGCCCTTGTCGCATCCCTCCAGAAGTTTCTGTTGCCAACGACGTCAATCAAGGACGATGCACCGACGCTTGCCGCTTGCTTGCGTGCGCTCGTCTACACCCCAAATACGATCTTAGCGGCACCCCCGCTAGCGGATGATACATCAGGGCTCTTGCCACTCCCACCCGTCCTCGCACCTGATACAACTGCGGAGGACGATGAAGACGACGACGACGTGGCGCCGTTACCCAGCTCGCCGGTCGAAGCGTCGCTTTTGCTTCATCATGACGCAACGACGCCACCGGCACCACGCACAAAGAAAAGTCGGCGCAAACAGCAGCAAAAGCGGTAATGCTACATTCCGATAAAGGCTAGATTTCGAGATTTTAATGCAACACGGCGCTGCGCACTTGGTGGGCGACTTGTACAAGGTCTCCGACCGTCTTGGGTCCCCGAAGCAGCACTTGGCACATGAATGCCTTCGTCTGCTCCATCGCACTCTGGAACGAGCCTTGAGCTTGGCGGTGGAAGTCGTCATATGCATGCAGCGAGACAGAAAAGAGCTCGCGGAGGCCAATTGGGTCTTCGAAGAGCCGCCAGTACACCTCGTCACGTTCGACAAACCGACCGGTTGGAAGGTCCAGGAGGTCCGCGATGAGAGCGCCGAGATGAAGAGCGACCATGGCAAACGCGTACGCTGGGCGTGGAGGTAGCATCTCGAGGCATGCGCTGCGGTGAACTTCGCAAAAGAATACGAGCGCGTGGAGAGTAAAGACGCTGGACGGCGAGTTTTGAAGCACGGAGATCGGATCGTCGGACGGGAATCCAAGCTCAGTCCATGCGGGAGGGCTGGCGTCGCCATGAATACTCGTCCAAAGACGCCGAAGAAGATCCATGTGGTCGCGGTTTGCATCCGAAAACACTGCGCGGCTAAGGCTCGCCGCCGCCGAGAGTTGCTGGAGTGCTGCGGCCGACGGCTTTTCGTCGCCCGACTGCGAGTTGAAGTAGCGCCCGGCAGTAAACTCGACAGTCTCCCAAACGCGCGCGCTTGTTTTGGAAAGCTGCTCCTTGCCCGAGGCCTTGAGGCTCTTCCACATTGAGTTGAGGCCGCCCTTTGACGTCGCCTTGACCGGCGACGCACGGAAGAAGTGCTCAAACTGCTCGTACTCGGGCGCGTCGATTTGCGAGCTGTAGATCGGATACGCTTGTGGAGAGGACGAAAGCTGCAGGACCTTCACGAGTACGTGGCCCGACGGCAGAGTCTCGGCGTCGTCGCCGAGGTCACGCCACACGTAGCCGCCGCTCGTGGTCTCTTGGAGGCGGAAGTGGTACTTGCCCTCGAAGGGGAACGCATGGCGCAATGACGCGACGGTCGCACCCTGCGGCAGGAGCACACTGGATGGCTCGTCGTCCTCGGCGCCGCAGAAGACGAACCTGCACAAGACGCTGTCGTGGGTCCCCATCTTTCGATTCTCCGTTTTTCAATACGTCGTTTTGTGAAACTCAAGAAGCTGGTTTTTGAGTCGAGCAAGGAGAGCACATTTCATTGGCCGTTTTCATATTTATTAGCCAATCCGTGACACGGACGTGCATCTCAGCGTGCATGTGAGGTTGGTCGATGGCGAGTCGCCATGATTTGTCGACCGAACTGCGTTTGAAAATGGAATCGTCCAAATTTAGCATGGCGATAGAAAATTCTTAGGAGAGCATTTATCACTAGATTTCGTCGTCGCCCGAGGTGTGCAGGGCAAGAATTCGACGATCAAAGACTCGACCAGATGAGACACTTGTGGGACTTACCAAAGTAGATGTAAATTATGCAAATTGCTGTCGTCAATCTGCACCACGTCCCTTGACCACGTCCTAGATTCTACTTACAGGAGAGCAATGCTCCGACCGCGCTACGTCGTCTCCAATAGGCATATCTCTGGCTCGTCATGGAGCGGGTAACAAAAGTCAGCGATCGACCTTCGCTGCGGTGCGCAGACTTATCAGTGGATAAAAGACCAGCAAGTGTGGATGCCCTAATTTATGCATCTTTACTCTGCATTTGTGTCGAGGAGCCCAACCACTTGGCATCCCTCTGTCGGTATGGATAGCCCAATCTCATTGCGATGGTTAGTGCCAGTAGCCGTTTCTCTCCAGCGCGGATTTCCCAAGCATCGCCAACCGGACACACTCAGCGGTTTCGCACAATCCGGTGAGGTTATGGCGAGCAAGGAAGCGGGGGAGGCACGGACGTCGAACACGGCCTCGGCAATGAGCGTCGAGAGCGTGCATCAACAGTCTGAGCTGCTCGTCATGGACTACCTCAGGGGATCTCGCTGCATGAAGACGATGGACGCGCTTTCGCGCTGGATCTCGGACAAGGCGAGGAAGTCGTCGCCCAAGTCCCACAGCGCCAGCGAGCTTTTCAACAAGGACGTCGCTGCGCGTAAAAACTCAAGTCCGAAGTCTAGCTCCGTTCTCGAATACATGGTATTCTAGTCACCTACTGCTTTTGGTGGCTCATGGCGTTGCGATACACGTAGATTGGACGCCGGAAACAGTCCAAGTCCCATCGCTTGAGGTAATGTAGACTCTTCTTTTTCGATGTAAAACAAGGGACGCCTACTAGTTGTGTGAGCCCGGATGTCTTGGCGTGCATGTCGGTCTCTCCGACTGATGCATCCTTGCCAACATGGACAGCCGAGGAGGTTGTGATGCTCAAGAAGGCGGCCAAGAGTACGCAGAGCATTACGGACAAGACCGAGCGCTGGAAAAACGTCAGTGCCGTTCTCGGCCGAAGCAAACGCGAGTGCTACGACAAGTACAAGGAGATCAAGAGAGAGCGCAAAAATTTATCCAAGGTTGGCGACGCTGAAACACCTCGCGCAAAGAACAAGGACGTCGAAGCGCCCAACTCCAAGAGTAAGGGGCGCTCAAGTGATCAAAAGAAGCCACTCGACGACGATAAAGGATCTGGATCCACATGGGGAAGCTCGCGGGCTGCGTCCGCGACTGTTGCACCTGACCGCCGCGCGTACACATGTCCGACACATAGTAGCGTCTGAATTGTGGTCGCGTAGGGCAAGCAAGTACGAAGCCGTCGTGGAAAATGACGTTGTTGATGACGACATAATCGACGACGCCCCGAGTGCGCTAGTGAAGCAGGCGGTAGGGCGTCCACTGGCACTAGCGACGTCCATCGGCCGATCGCTCACAAGCGCCGAAGTGTCGGCTATGCGCATCTTACTCTTTGGCGAGGCCAAGAAAGGCCTCACGTCGCACTGGACAGCACAGGTTTATATATTGACCACTCTATGGCTTCGTTTTTGCCAACGGTGCTTTATGCCAGGGGTTCCCATTTGCACCCGTGCCTGGGTATGGCATTGTGCAGCACGAAGGCGGTCCATGCGGCGTCATGGCAGTTGTCCAGGCCTACACGTTGTATTTCCTCTTCCAAAACACCACATGTTGGCAAGAGGTAGTAGAATGATATTGCCCTTTGCAATGTAATCTATATATGAAATTGTAGCCGCGCGCGGACGAGCTCCGGACCGCCCTTACCGACGCGCTGACACACATTGTATGGCAAGCAAGCGACGGCTCTCAATGCACTATGGCCCTTCCCGGCGTATTTTGCTCCAACATAGTGTCGTGAACCTAAAGAAAGACATTGTAGGCTCAACCTACAATCGAGCACGTACGCGTAACATCGTCACTCTTGTCGCGTTCAGCTGCCCGCGAATTCATCTCGACCCATATTGACGAGGTGCGTTATTTTTTGCAGTATACTATATGGATGAGAAGACTAACACAAACTCAGTATCTAGCCTCGCGTGGCTCTGGCGTGATTCTACTTGTCGCGAGTGTTCTCTTGACCCGTGGCCTCGCAACAATTGCTGCCGACATGGACGCACCTGACGGAGCAACGCCGACGCTGGTCGGTGCTCATGACTATTGCACGCAAGTTAGTACACGGGTGCTGTTTGCACAGATGATTGAAGGCCAGTAGGAACTCGTGAATTTGCTTCTTGTTGGATACGCGTGCAGCAACGTGTTTGATGGCACACAAGACCTCGGTGACGGCCTCACACTGCGTGGCATTGGCCGCCAAGGTTTGATGCATAGTCGTTTCTATCTTCGAGCCACGCCTAGGCCTTGTGGGCTTCCTAACGCTGTTTGAGGCTTACGAGTACATGGTGGTGGGTGCATTCTTGAAGGCGCCTACGGCTCCCGTTTGGGTCGTTTGCAGCGAGTCACACTACTCAGTTCTGTTTGCGAACCCCGACGCAGCGACATCGCCCGCATCGGTGCGTTGTCGTTCTCTCATACACATAGCCAGCCGATTGAAATCCATTCTGCAGACGGAAACGATCGTGGAGCTTCTCTACTACGATGGACTCGCCAACCAAGACGAACCCATCCAGCTCAGCGTTTCGCCATTCGGGCTTGCTGCGCCCAAGAAGCCACGCCATGACGACAACTCGCTTACGCCGCCATTGGACCTGGTAATCCGCACCAAGTGGCCGCGGGGCACCGTCGACTGGCATGGCACCGAGCCTCTCTTGTAACCTGCAAGAAATCTACCACTACGTACTAGTACATAATTCAGAATATATTGCACACATTAGTCGGTGGTGTGTCTATCGAATACTGGCGGCGCGTAGACCAGTCGCCGGCGGGACCTTGGCCTTTGACGAGACAGCAGGCGGTGAGAAGATGTTCCAGAAGCGCAAAGTTTCGTCGGCGGCGCCAGAGACGACTGTCGTAGCGTCGGGGCCGGCCGCGAGGTGCAGGACGCGCGCAGAGTGGCCCGTGAGCTCCTTCACCTTGCGCATTGCAGGGTACGACCATAGGCAGAGTTCGTTCTGCGCGTAGCCATGCGAACTCAGAAGCTCCTTCTCGCTCGTCGACCAGAGCAGTGCACATACCTGCGAGCCCGTGTCGGTCGACTGGAGGAGGCTGCCCGTCTGCGCGTTCCACAACTTGATCGTGCGGTCGGCCGTGCCGCCGCCAGAGGCGAGGACGTGGCGGTCCCACGGGCACCACGCGAGCGCCTTGACGGCAGCGCAGTGGTCCGTGAGTTTGTGCATCGGAGTTGTTTGCATTTGGTTCCAGATGCAGAGCGCGTTGTCGTTGCCACCGGATGCGAGTTTGGAACCATCGGGTGACCAGCGCAGACCACAGACCTCTTGTTCGTGGCTGTTGAGCGTCGCAACGATGTGCGACGCAACGCGGACGTCGTGGTGAATGATCGACGTGTCGCGCGAGCCCGACGAGAGCACGTGGCGATTCCACGAGAGAGCACCAACACGTGCCGAGTGACCGTTGAGCGTCCGGAGTAGTTTGGCGTTGGTTGTGTCCCAAAGCTGCACCGTGGCATCGCTCGAGCCAACTGCGAGCGTACTGCCTTCCTGGATCCAAGAGACGGAGCTAATGTACTCATCGCCGTCAAGCGCCATGAGCTCGTCGATGGCGCCCGTCGCGGCGTTCCAGAGGTACAACGACGCGCCGAGCGCAACTGCAAGCACATTGTTTTTTCCCCACGACAGGAGGTTGAGGTAGTAGTCGTCCATGAGCTCGGGTGCGTCGAGAACCTTGGTCGGCGCGGACGGGATATGGCGCGTCAGCAGCGGCTTAATCTTGGACGACGTCGCACGCTTGTTGTACATGACGTTGAGAGCACCCTTGAATGACGCTGGGTCGTCTGCGGCAGGAGGCTTGTCCTTGAAGGTAAGAATGCGGTGGCCTTCAAGGTCACTCGTGCCCAGGAGCGACTTGGCCAAGCACGTTTGAAAAGTCTGCTGCGATGGACTGTCGGGCGCCACGATCGATGCAGGCGTTGGGTTTGCCACCGAGGGTTGCGCCGCCTTCGCTTCGAACGGCGCCGTGACTTTAAGACTCGAGACTTTCATGTCCATGGCCGACCGATTCGGAATGAAGCGATCATTCTAGCCGTAACGTGACCTGCAGCTCTTTAGCGCCATGGAAATAGTACCGTGATCTTCTTTCGCTTCGCCGGCGACGGCGACACGGCTTCGACCTTCTTTTTGCGCTTCCAGCGAGGGATGACACTCGATTCGAGCGGGCCTGCCGTCATCTGCAAGAGAAGCTCCATTTCCGCCGCAGCATTCACCTGCTTCTTCGTCTTTGCTTGGTCCTTCGCCGTCGATGGCGTTGGCTTGTTCGTCGACGAGCGGCTTAGAGACCGCGGGGGCGTCCGTGCCGGCGTCGACGACGTGGCCATGGCTGACAGCAGATTGAACTCTGCTTTGAAAATTTGAACCAATCGTCTTTGTATTTGTATAGTATAGACACACCAAATTAGACCAAATCTAAGCACGGGCCAATCAGAGACAGGACAGGCTCAACCCAACTGGCTCGTCCATGGGACGTCCATGCCGCCAGCCCATTTTCCCGCCAGCCTCTCGCTGGGATCCAGAGTAGACTCGTGACGAGCCCGAGCAATGCAGTGCATGCGATTCCGCGTGCATCGGTTTCCGTGATTGAATATACTAGTAGTAAACGTGTTGGGGCCAAGAACCGAGAATTTCCCCCGGTCTGTCATTTTGCACTTGCCGTATCGCACAGCGGCGTTGCGCCTACCGTTGACCAACGATTCTTGCGTGCTCGCGCATACTTTATATCGGCAACGTTAGTGCGATGCTCCTACGCATGAAATAGTGACTACACGCTGGGTGCGAGCACCACCGGAGGAACGTACCGTAATTGGGCGCGATACGATGATTGCATTCGTTGAAATTGAGCTGGCAAGTGAGATGAGGGTACTGTATGGTCTGGATCAGGACACCGACTCATCGTTGCTAAGGTTTTACAGCTACAAAACAGCAAAGCACCGTCAGAGTAAGTGTCCTCCTCAAAAACGCACGTTCGTAGCGCACAATTATGGCCCTACTTGAACTAGTAGGTATCGCACCCAGCAGACATGCAATGTCGTCTAGTGTTAAATCTCAAAATCAATATCCGTCGTGTACAGAATGTCCGTCGTCTTCCCATCGACAAACTGGACGCGGAAGACGTCGCGGCTCACTTGAACGTACATGAAGCCGTGGACCATATCGACATGCACCAAGTCTGGATTCGCCCGGGCTTGGGGTCGGAGCTCATGGAGGTTGTAGCCACCGGCACCAGACGTGAAGAAGCTCAATTGATCGCGCTTGATGTGCTGGAGAGCGTGGTCGTGCCCGTTGAAGTACGCATGCACCTTGTGTTTCTGTAAAAGTGGCTTGAGGTGCGCGATAAGCTCGGGCGTGTCACCGTTTCCGGCGTAGCTGTGTACGGCCCAGTGCCCGACAACGATTGTCCACAGCCGCGTGATTTGCTTGGGTGCGCTTTGGCTCAGGGTGCGCTCGAGCCATTCGTATTGCGCTGACCGCGTCTCCGGCGAAGTCTGGTCGTTCATCGCCGCTGTACAACGAAAATCCCGGTCATTCGCTGTCTGACCGCACACGAGGTCGCACACGTCAAGTACGACCACACGGAGCAGTGTTGACTCGTCCACGCGTTGGTCAAATGTATAGTACCTATGCCCAGATCATTCCTTCGTACCCCGAAAGAGATACGCCGAGAGGTACCGTTGCGGAAACTTCCAGACGTTGTTCGTACGCTTCGCGTAGTTAAGCATCGCATCGATGCTGCCCTCGCAGTCGTGGTTTCCGATGCTACAACGCAAGTGTGGTTAGACTACTAGTACACAACTAAACTGCGGGCCTTACCTAATGTACCACGGAATCTTGAGCGACGGGTGCTTGTAGACCTAATACGAGGCACGTCAGTCGAGCCACTGGACAAGGCTTGTCATGTACGTTTTCAAACTTGCTGTAGATGATTGGGTCATCGGCTGAGAGCATTCTAGTGCAGTGATCAATGTGGTATCGAAGAGGCAATTTGGCGGGCACCCGTGGTCGTAAATCTGGTCGCCGGTAGAGAGCACAAAAGCAGCGTGGGGCTGCGTGTGGTTGACAAAGTCGGACATTGAGGCTGCGACGAGTGCCTGTGTCGCAGAGCCCGTGCCAAAGTCGCCAACGACGACGAATCCAAGCGGCGCCAATGGCGGCTGGTTGAACTGCTTGAGGCGCGACGCCAGCGCCTTGGAGCGCAGCTTGAGATCGGCCACGCGCTGGATGTCGACGCTTGTGCTTGTGATAAAGTAGCTCAAGATGTACACGCACCACGCGACAAGCAGCCCGACGCACATCCACTGCGTCAGCTTCATGCTCATCGTGCTGGTGCTGGTTGCTGCTTCCTGCCCTGGGCGACAATGTCCGGATACTGATATTTCACGCGATTTGTATTTTTCACATACTGTGGGACTGGCATGGGCTTCAGCAACAACCGCTCTGCCCCGCTGTGCACCACATCTATAGTTCAGTAGCTTAACATACTAAATAGGGAGGGTATGCAAAACTATAGCCATTCTTCGTGTTCGTAGAGGGATACTGTCAATCTGCTTCAAGCCTGCCCAAATCCAACGCCCGTGGCTCCGCACCACTGGCGAAGCGACAAATTGATCGATTTCTTGAATGAAGTGGAATCGGCCATATTAGCCTGACTAGACTGCATCCCGTCCGCTCTGAATGAAGTACAGAACAATAAGCTTATACCGTTCGGAAAAAAAGACTTTGTTGCGTAAATTGTACCGCTGCCAGCTTCTTAGAATTTGTCGCTCGTGCAATGCGGCGCTATCCCAAGCACATGAAGGAACTTACTCTGATGGTATGCTACGTGGCAGACGTGAAGAACATATTTTTCACATCGTGAAAAAGCATGATTTATCCGGTGACTTGTGAGAATCCGGATACCGTGCCAGTCGGCGACGATGGGCAATGGCATCTCGAGCCCACCGGGCGAGAAGCTCATCGGGCTGGCCAACTTCGGCAACACGTGCTACTGCAACGCTGTGCTCCAAGTACTCTACTTCTGCGAGCCATTCCGAGCTGGGCTTGCGGCGCACCACCGCCTCAAGGTAAGCAACTTGCCATTGTCGGCGCACGTCATGCGATCTTTCTGTGGCTTCGTAGGGCAAGAAGGGTGAAGCGACGCTTCTTGACTGCCTCGCCGAGCTCTTTGAGAAGATATCAACGCAAAAGCGAGCGACGGGCACAGTCACGCCCAAGTCGTTTGTTGCCAAGTTGCAGCACGACAACGAGACGTTTCGGGGCACTCTGCATCAGGTACTACAGTAGTGCAACTGAGCTTCCATCTTCTTTTTCACCGCGAGCACCTCTCGTCTAGGACGCCCATGAGTTTCTCAATTATGTTGTCAACGCTATCTGTGACTTGGTCCAAGCAGAAACAGCGAACAAGGAGCGAACGTGGGTTCACGAACTATTTGAGGGCACGCTGACGAACGAGACGACGTGCTTGGGCTGCCATGCCGTCTCACGCCGAGACGAGACTTTCTTGGACCTGAGCGTCGAGATCGAGCCGCATGCGTCCCTAACGTTTTGCCTGAAGCAGTTTGGTATGGTCGAGACATTGTCTGGCGACGACCAGTTCTCTTGCGATGCGTGCCACAGCCGCCAGGTTCCCATCCTACATGCATATTCGACACAAAAGTCGGACACTGCTATCTTAGGATGCAGAGAAGCGGCTTTTCTTGCGAGAGACGCCGCCTGTGCTGGCGTTGCACCTCAAGCGCTTCAAATTCATATCCTTTTTACGGTATCTGGACCATGCACTGCAGATATTCACCACCACTTGCTGTCCTTAACCGTACGCGTGTACATGGAAGCATCTCAATCGTTCGCCAAGCTATTTCATCGCGTGCTCTTCCCAGACGAACTTCAACTGCCTTCGCGCCTCGTAGGACGCATGGCGTTGCTAAACTGTGCAGTTCATGTGTGTCTGTAGATGCTGTCGACGTCAAATGAGACCTACGACCTTTTTGGCATTGTCGTGCACATTGGAAATGGACTCGATGAAGGCCATTATGTGAGCTTGATTTTGTGGAAGACACAATGGCTTCTCTTTGACGACGATCATGTGTCGGTGCGTCATATCGAGAATCAAGAGGTCAATGTGATTACTCTAGATTCTAGAAAGTCGACGAAGGCATGCTCGATGTGTGCTATGGCGACGGCGACGTAGGTTCTGCATGCATCTTGGACCAAACATATCATATCTGCTAGGCGACAACATCCAGTGCGACGGGGTACCTCCTCTTCTACAAGCGGCGATAGACAGCGACAACATTCGACGCAACCTCCTCGTTGTTGTCATATACTACAGTAACTTGGACACGTGGCTTACGACGACTTTTCCATGAGATGGATCGGCTTGAGGATCGAAACCTTGTTGGTCTCGACGATGCAGCCATTCATGATCATTTCGTCCAAGATAAAGTGGGCCTTCTCGAGGTTGAACATGATCTACGAACATGGGATGAGGACCTGGTGAGGTGGCAGGTGGCGTACATCAAGCTCGCAGACGCTTTCAAAGTACTTGTCCATCGTCTCGACGAGGGCATGAATGAATTCGAGCACGCCAAGCTCGTTGTCCGAGTCGTCGTTGTTGACCCCGACGATGAAGAAGAGCGACGCGTACCGGCGGTAGATGACCTTGTACCCGCGGTATTCGACGAACGAGCACTGGTTCTCGTTGCGGCCCAGGCACTTGCGGATGATCTCGGCCTCCAGCGCAACGCGCTCCGCGATCGGGAGGAAGTCGACGTACTGCGCAAGGCGCGTCTGGCCTTGCTTGTTGACCATGAGCACGAACTTGATCATGTTGTCGTCGCCTTTTCGCAAATGGGGCGGCGACGGCCAAGGGCCGGATAAAACTCTATAATAGCATACTGCAGAAGATCCGAAGATTCGGTCTGAGAGGGACTTTAACCCAACCGAGTTTTATTATCGAGTCGAACCAGGGCGGAGCGAGACTGCAGCGGCCCGCTGGCAGCTCGCGTGGGGTCGATGGGCGGTCTATTACGAGATATAACGAGGTATAACGTAAGAAATTATCCTACCATGACGCCGTCATAGATGCTGGAAGTACGCGGACTCTGAATAAAATGCAAGACACCTCGCAGCAGAAATACCTCGTGAAGCCCTACACACATAAAATGCAACGCGGGAGCCATGTATGGCATTGTTGTGCATGCACAATACAACTCTTCCAAGCGGTCATAGGCGCATGGAAGCGATTTGTGTTTACATACAGGCTATTTTCTCTGCTGCTTATCGACGGACGGCTGCCCCAAACCATCGTTGCCTCCCTGCAGCGATAAGACACAGTTTACCGTACTACATGTAGTAAAGGTAAAGGGGGTTAAAACGTTAAACGCTGTTGTAATTTAAAACAACCGACGGATGGTTAGATAAAATTGCGTCCAAATTTCAAGCTCAGCGAAAGCTGCTCAGTTCCGTTTTAGCTGCCCAGCGCACAGTCGCCGCCGCCCATGCGCCAGTCGCTGCGCCAACGAGCCAAGCCCGTGGTTCGGTCGGAGCAGCTCGGGAAGCTCCTGCGTGCGCGTGATGCAGCTGCCCGCGGAGAGAAGATCCTGAAGGACGATGACGACGATTGGTCACCCGAAGACGGCGAAGCGTCGGATGACGAAGACGACGCCATAGAGGACAGCGATGACGACATACTGCCCAAGACAAAGCAGCTCGCTCGGCGCAAGCGCCCGATATCATCAGTCCCAACTGCAACGGCCAACCCGACCGCTTCCAAGCAAGCGGCGCCGCGGGACCCTCGTCAACGACGGGCCCTCAACCCACCGTCGGTGGAAGCCGAGGTCGCACGAAAGCTCTTGGAGCTTCAGTCCAAGGTTCTGCCCGTCAAGTCGATCTTGAAGAAGGAGCGGCGACAGATCCAGGTGCTCGACGAGGCGCCCGTACAGGCTGTCACGGCAGCGCCCGCTCCCGTTGTCGTACACAAGCGGCCGAACCGCAACAAGACCGACCGCGTTGGGGCCATACTTGGTCCCAAGTCGGCCACGTTTGGCGTCGAGACGAAGTACGCCACTTCGACGCTTGCGCAGTTTTATGATGAAATTCTGGACTGGGACTTTGGCGAGGCCGTGCTGAATGACCAAAAGCCGCTCTCCGAAGCGCCAGCGACCGAGAACGTCCAGGTACCGAGCAAGTTCGAATCGTACCAGCACTACTTTAGCGTCTGGAAGCCGTTGGCAGTCCAGGAAGTGCAGGCGCAGGCTCTCAACGGCCTCTCGTCGGATCTCCCACCGGCGCTGCCGATCGTGTGCACGCCCCACGCCAGTATTGGATCGACCACGGTCAAAGTCGCGGCATCCTTCAACAAAGCTTACTCGGGCCACGACAAGCGGAAGCGCCAGCACGATGTTGCCGACATTCGGAAAGACGATCTCATCGTCGTCTCGGAAGACCCAAAGTTTCTCGCTTCGCGCGTACACGGCAAGGACGGGTCGGGGCTGCTCGGGGTTCTAGGCGTCGTCGAGTCTCAGCAAGCCTCCCGGTACCGCCGCTCTATCTTTCTCGAGACGTTTTCTGACACATGACATAGAGAAGGCCTCGTATTCGTCTCGACCTCGGCGCGCTGGCGCAGGCTGCATTGGGACGCCTCCAAGACACTGTACCTTTTCAAAGTGAACAGCCTTGTGACGAGCTTGCGTGAGTTCCGCGCGCTGTGCGAGTGTCGTGACTACAAGCTAATGCAGCTGCTTTTGTCGGGGGAGTCCGTCCCGAGCTCGATGCGCCTGGACACGCTCGGCCTTGGCTACGTGCAGTGGCTACGTAACACTTTCAACGAATCCCAGCAAGAGGCGATCACGGCCGCGGCAACGTCTCAAGGCTTTACGCTCATCAAGGGCCCGCCAGGAACGGGCAAGACGACGACACTCAAGGGTCTCCTAAACTCGTTACATCTGCGCGAGTACAACCGGTATTACAACGCAGTACTCGACGTCGCGCGCCGTCCCGACAAGGACACGTACGCAGCTTGGAAGCGCATTGGCAGCGAAAAGCCCCATATTCTCGTACGATCCCTGATTTCGTTTGCGATATGTATGACAATTTTTGTAGGTGGCAGCACCGTCCAACATTGCAGTTGACAACATCGTGGGCAAGATCATCGAAGAAGGCTTCTGCGATGGCGAGGGTCGACGCTACTTCCCGCAGATCGTCCGCGTTGGCCGAGGCGTGGTGTGTTTTTCGATACACCGTTTATATGGAACCTCATCATATGCTCTATTATAGACTGCGAATGTCAAGAGCGTGTCTTTAGAAGGGATGGTTGAATCCATCTCGTCGCAGCCGCTCGAAATAGTCGAGATGCGTGTTGGCCAGCTCACGCACGAACTTCGCATTGTACGCCACCAGGATTTGAAGTGTACATTCTAAATTTTGGTTTTAGGTGGAAGCTGACGCGGCTGTGTTGCGACAAGAGCTGCGCAACGTCATTGCATGGATCCATGGTATCGTTGAAACGAACCTCCGCGGCGTGCCCGAGTCGCCGCCTCCGCCACCGCCCATGACCCCACCTCCACCTTCGCCCCAGGCAGTTGAGATGCCTGGGACACCGCCGCCACCGCCACCGACGGAGGAATACGGCCCATCTCCAGTTGTTTCACCACCGCGCCCGGTGTCCGACATGCATGGGGGACCCCCACCCACGTCCCCACCGCGCCCACTGCAACTGGACGGTCCACCACCAATTTTTGAGCATGCTGTTTCGTTTACGACGCTGGAGGACGAAGGAACGGCGGGGACCAAGGCGGCTTTTGTGACGTACAACTCGGATGACGACGACGACGCAGTGCCTTTTTCAGCCGATGACGCGCCAACATATATGCTTTCGGAAGACGAAGAGGACGAGCCGCTGCCGGTAGCGGTGACAGCGTGTTCCACGGTCATTGACGATGATGAAGTCGACGAGCCGCTACCGCAAGTGGCTGCCGAGTGCATCCTAGAAGCTACGGATGTCGATATGACCAAAGACGATGAAGATGAAGTCGACGAGCCGCTTCCTGTGCTACCACCGACGCCGCCACGAGGACCTTCGCCCCCCGCAGAGTGCGCACCACCGCCACCGACGATGCCCGACGTCCCGCTCGTCATTGACTACAACAGCTACAAGCCGTACAAGGACATTGCGCAGCGCATCAACTTGTGCCTCGAACGCGCCAATACGGTAATCCTTGCGCTTGTGATTCGTTCTCATTCTCCATAGATTCGGCTCGAGTGGCAGCGCTACAGCATCGTGCGCCAGGCTCTACAGAACAACAAGCGTGTTCCCAAGGAGACGCAAGAACAGCTTGAAAGCTCGTTTCTCGAGTCGGCGCATATTGTGTTTACGACGCTCAGCTCCGCCGGGCACCGCGCCCTCGACGACTCGAACCGCTACGACATTCTCGTCATCGACGAAGCAGCACAAGCTGTTGAGCTCTCCACTATTATTCCGATGCGGTACCAATTTTCCTTTCAATTCAGAAGACATTCACGTTTGTGTGTATCCTTAGATTTGGCAGCAAGCAATGTGTGCTGGTCGGCGATCCACAGCAGCTGTCGGCGACCGTCTTTTCGCGCACAAGCGCACAGTCTCTCTACGAGCGGTCGCTCTTCGAGCGCCTCGAGAGTTGTGGGCACCCGGTGCACATGCTCCGCACACAGTACCGTAGTCACCCAACGATCTCGGCGTTTCCGCGGGCGTACTTTTACGGTGGCCTCCTCCAGGATGGCGACAACGTCAAGACACCCGCGTACATCAAACCGTACCACTCGCTCGCACCGGCGTTTTTGCCACTTGTGTTTTGGAACATTGTGAGCAGCCGCGAGTCAGCGGGCCCGTCGTCGCGCTCCAACCAGATGGAAATCGAGCTTGCGGTCAACTTGTATCTCACGCTCCGGAACGCGTGCCCGCCGGACGCGATCCGTGGCAAGGTCGGCGTCATTACACCCTACGCGTTCCAAATGGAAGAACTCAAGAAGGCCTTTGCTCGCGTGTGTGGTGGTGACTATGCGCACGATGTCGAAATCAACACGGTCGACGGGTACCAAGGCCGTGAGAAGGACATTATCATTCGTACGAACCTTTTGATACGAAATATTGACACTTACCAAGCGATACTATGTAGTGTCGACGGTGCGCGCGGACCCTCGAAAAGGCGTTGGGTTCCTCAGCGACATTCGGCGCATGAACGTCGCGCTGACGCGCGCCAAGTTTGCGTGCTACGTCATCGGAAGTGAAGCGACGCTCAAGTCGTCCAAGCCCTGGCGGGCGTTGCTCGACCACACGAGAAGTGCTCAGTGCATGGTGCACGTGACCAACCCACAGGAAAATTTGTTGCAACTACGCCCTGGTGGCGATCCGCCCCGGCGACCCGTGAACTTTGGCGGCCGCGGACGTGGTCGGTTCCAGCACGCCTAGATAGACGCGTAGCATAGAGACTCCTCCCTGGATATATAAAATTCAAATTGAGAGTGTGTTTGAAGCAAAACCACACTTTACGGACATTCCACGCAAGTGCGATTCGTGTTGGCACCAACGGCCGAAACGAACGCGATGACGAAGCGACTCTTCCTGGACACGGTGCGCCACATCTTGCGCGAGCTCTTCGAGCCGCTGGACGAAGCGTCCGTCGACGTCTCGGTGCTTGGTGATCTATTTGACGAGAGCCATTTGCGCTTCGAGAACCTCTTTGTGAAGCTCGACGTCTTCAACACTCTTCCATGGCCGTTCAAGGTCCAAACGGCGTACATTGGCCAGGTGCACGTCCAGGTATTCATTCTCGCAACGATATTGGTTGTGCGTAATGGTGTCCAGGGCATGCTGGGGGCCGTGGCGGGTGCTCCCATGACACTTCGGGTGCGCGACGTGCACATTGTCTTGAGCGCCAAAGATGTCGACTGGGCGGACGTCGACGGCCTTCGCGTGGCCAATGAGCTCTACGTGGCGCTCATGCATCGCCTCTGGAACCGCCACCACATGGAGGTATGAGTTCACAGTACCGCGATGTGCTGTCATGGACGTACACACGTAGGGTAGCGGCGCCAAGAAAACCGAGTCGGTCAAAATGTGGCTCAAGGTTGACACCGCTTATTCGAGTGTGCATGTCAGTCATCGCGAATCTAGCGCCGTATCTACGCGACGCTCGACCACATGACTATCAAGGTCGAGAACATTCACATGCGAATCGAGGTTGGGATATTCCGACAGCGCATAAAAACACTATTGCGGTACAGGTGCCGTCGCCGCCGCCAACCCTCGAGACGCACGTTTTAGGACTCCTCATTCCCGTACGCACTCGACCTCAAACCTGAGTTTATCGCAAGCTAGACGTTTTCGGTGACGTCGTGTGAGTCCGACTGTCACATCTTACACCGGCGCGACGTGCCCCCCGCGCTCCATCCGACAACACCCGTCGTCTCTAAAGTCCTCATGCTGGACCGCATCACGCTGTACTCAGCCGTTAGCGCGACGGTCCCCGGGAGCTTGTCGTCGGCCCAATGGCGGGACCAGTTTGCGTATGTGTGGCCCGCTGAGGCGCGTGAACCCCTCCTGCAGCCTGTTCGCGTCCAGATAAAGGTAGACTGGGCCCAATGCACTGACGGCACAGCCAAGTACAAGATACGTGCCGTCGACATTGCAGTTAGTCATCTTGACGCGACGCTGAAGCCGGTGCAGGTAGATATCACGCGGTGATCGAAAATTTGACACACTTGCTCTTAGGTCGCACTGCTTTTGCAGCTATGTTCGCACGTGGACACGTTCCAGCGATACGTGCGGTACCAGCGCCTCAAGCCGTACGGCGCCGATCGACGCCCGCCACTGTTGTCGCTACCGGCGTTTGTGTTTTTGCCGCACTGGACCCCGCCGGCCGCACGCGACAACAAGGCACGCCACAAACTATCAGCGCGAGCGCGCTGGCAGTTCGCCTTGCGCTGCGTGCTTGCCGACTTGTACCCCCGCCGTGACGCACTCTGGCTGAGTCCGGTCATTCTCATGTATACGGATCTGTATAAGCGCCAGGCGTCGCCGGCTTACGTCGCGCACATCACCAAGAGTTTGGTAGAAGACGGCAAAGCGAACACGCTTCCCAAGGTTGACATATTCTTCAAGTCAGCACTAGGTGGCAAGTCATCTATGTGTAGTATGAGCCCTTGTCGCCGCACGAGGCCGATATGCTCTCCGACTACGTCTACAAGGTGCGCCAGAAACTCCACAACGTATGCACAAAGCAGTTTAATTACGCTCTTTAGATTGCGTTGGACCACCAATTGCTGTGCCGAGCCGTGTGCGATCGAGTCATCCGACAAGACTTTTCCCGCTTGAACGATGCGCCGCATGCACCACTTCTCAAGGTATAGTTTAAAAATACCGACACATGCAGGTAGATGGACCTTCCAACACAGCGCCGGAGCCTCCTTCGCCTCGGCAGTGCGCAGGATCTCACGAGTGCGCGTGGGTGGAAGTCGCTCTCAAATGTCGAAGATTTTCTCTTTGGCCAAGCTGCGCTCGGCGTGCACGTGCCCCGAATCAAGGCGCGCGATGAGCCACCGCATCCCGTGCCGGCCTTCTTTCGCGTACCCCGGCCCATGCTGCACTTTGCGGTCGCCTCCATGAGAGTGAGCATCCAAGACGAGACGCAATCAGACGTGTGGGTCGCAACGGCAGGCTCCATTGCCGCCGTGAGCATTGTCGCAGCTGAGTATGTCCTCCTCGAGCTTCGGCTTGGCAAGTTCGGCCTCTCCATTTCGCCGAGCCGGGGCACCCTCCCCGTACGCAATGCTCCATATATCATGGTGCTATGCAGTGTTGCTAGTTGCCCGTCGCAAGCATTGCGTACATCCACGACGAAGCCGATGGCTCCATCTACATTGGTGTGCGTTACGACCCATGCTCGGTGTGTCCTTGACGCTCGTGTGTGGCACTGAAGTTTCTACTCGAGTAGATGACAGCCTTGGCGACCAAATACGCGTGGAAGGTCAAGTGCATGCTGGGGAAAGTCAAGGCATTTCTTTCAACGAGCGACATGGATCGAATGCGCGCGTCGGTCATGCAGCGTAGGTCGTTTCCATAGGGAGCTGCTCGCCAATTGGTTGCTTTTTAGCCCAGGGCTCGATGATGTCCTTGCTTCGGCGTGAGTTCAAGCATTCGTTCAAGCGCCCCTCGTGTTTGGGGAAGAAGCTGCCGACAGCTCCAGCAACGTCCATGAAGGATCGCGTGAAACAGGGCCTTGAGGCGCTTTTGCAGGCAACGACGCTGGTCGAGGTTGCCGTCGGTGGGCTTGATGCGACCATGAGCTTGACGGCGCTTGCTTGGCTACAAGTTTCCGATGATATGTCTGTGCCGGATGGGGAGGTGAAGGAGCGTGCGCATGTGTTTGTGCCGCCTCACGCGCTCTCGCTTTCAAACGACATGGACACCAACGAGTGCGTCGTGGATGTTCTGCACCATCGTGCGACGTTTTCGGGCTCGCCATCCGGCCACCGCGCCGCAATTGCGTACCTCTTGCGCTCCATTCGTTAATTCATACGATAGTACATATTACCGCCATTCTTGGCCACTGGTCGACCATCGTTTGTGTTCACATTGCAAGAGGATGCGTGAGCTAAGCGCAACCCACACATCGCAAGCATGTAATTCACTCTTGTGTCTTGAGAAGAAAAAGTCGCGTTGCACGCCATGTCATTTGTCGCCAAGTTACGCGGCAGCGAGCTACGCTGCGGTCGTGCCGTCCGAACACCCGTGAGCTTGGCAAGAGATGGCCAAGAGTCCATAAATTTGTGTACTCTTGGAGAAGGCTCATCGATGGCACTTCATAGGCGCGTTGATCGTTGTCGCCTGTTGTCTCGACGAGAATTCTTTACTCTGATCTGGGCAAATATACATGTAGAGGATGTTTGTTCTGCACTGGTGTTTCGGCAGGCTCAAGCCCGACACTGCAGACTGCTATCCAGACATGTACCAAGAGGGGAGCCAAAGCCCGACCGGTATATTCTTGATGAATGCTTACACCACATTTTCACCCAACACGACAACTCTTGTCGACCACATTATACGATGCATGCATCAAGCGACCTTCGTTTTAATACCGGTAAGTTTGGCCCCGCAACTAGATTTGTCCAAGTAGTCGGTCAAGAACTGGTGGTCGTGCAACGTTGCGTCGAAGCATGTTTGCATGAATCTCGGCAGCTGGAAGCGCTGCAGCGCACTGGGCAACGAACCGCTCAATGTCGTCTAGCGACTGCACCGGCATTGCAACCGGTGACGACTGGGTAAGGTTGGGCGCCGACTCAGCGCGTTGGTTCATGCCACGAAGGCTCTGTATATGAAGTGGGCCAAGATACGGACTTCGCGCAATCGGCTCAGACCATCGAAATTTTGGCGCGAACGCCGGCGCGAGAAGGCTCAGGTCGGAGACGACCACCTGCGACGACTCAAGCTTTCGAGCCTTGTCGGGGCTACGCTCGCGTCGGTGTAGACCCGTACCAGCTACATGGACGTGTTGCTCAGTCACATTGGGTCGGCGTACCAACAGCGACGGCGACAGAGAAGGATGACGGTGCTGAAGGAGACGACGTGCGATGCGAGGATAGCGTCGGTAAAGATGCCTTATGCTCATTGCGTCGATTTGTGCGGGTTTGGCGTCGCTGCGATATCTTCTCCTGGGCTATTTCTGCTGCAACGCGGAGACCCTGGACCTGGCGCAGTGTTGTCGTCAAGCACGTGACGTAGTCGGGAAGCTTCTCGGTTTCGACGATCTACCTCCAATGTTGGGATACAAACAACGAGTATCATCGAGTACCATGTGTGCAAGAAGGAAGATGAGCCGTTGAAAGTCATACATGGAGAGCGGCGAAAGCTTTCCACTCCATTGGATCCACGGTCGGTGCATGAGCGTTCGCACCGCGCTCTTGTGCAAATTGGGCTTCTTGCACCGAATAAGCACCGTTGCAAGCGACTCGTAGAGGCTGCTGAGCTACACGCACCGTGGACATGTCGGCGACAATGCTATTGTGCGATGCAGTACCTTGACAACAGATATAGTTGGGCTGCCGTGGGCAGCATATGTCCACCTACAGAGGTTTGTTTCGCCGCAACTTCGTTTCGATAGTGACGCACCACTCGAGGAGACAGCGCTCGATGGACGGCATGCGCATAAGGAACTCGATTTGGAGCTCCGACTCCGCAACAAACTGAATAAGCTCGTTCGGGTCCGTTGACCGCGCAGCAGAGCTCTTGACGAATGGTGAGTTGGAGTCGTGGACGGTTGGCGGTTTGGCAGCCTCCTGATCTTTCCACCACGAGTCCAGCAGTCGCACGGTTGACACAAAGTGGGCCATTGAGTCGCGCACTGGGACACCCTCGGGTTTGGCAAACCGGCGCCGAACCGGCTTCGCCACCTCTGTCATGCCGGTACACGTGCTTTATGAATATATAAATAGCACGTCGCAGAGGATCATGGATACGACTTGACGCAAACGTACGACGATGCGTTCCAGTCGAGCACAGACCAGCAGCCAACTCCCTTCGAAAATGCGCGTGCGCCAAGCTCGACCGTGTCCGATTGTGATTCGACTATAGTATCGACTAAATTTTCGACTAAATTTTCGACTAAATGTTGGGCAACTTCAACTGAGGCAGTCGATAATAAAATCCACCATTGCACTCTGAACTTGTTTTCTGTATTCTAAATAAAACAGTCATATTATCACGCTTGGCAGAAGATTGCTGAGGTTTCGGAATCAGGACCAGCATGAGCAGCTTTGTGACGAGCATGCTCGCGACGGCCGCGACCGCCTCCGCAGCCGACGAGAAAGCGCGCCGGCTCTTCACGCCCCACATGTTAGCGTCACTGACAAGCATCACGCAGCGCAAGCCGGCGTCACCGGCGCGGGAGGCCAGTGGCTGGGACTTTGAGCACAAGATGGCAGCGCTCTTGGACCTCCAGGACGCACTCGAGGCTGCGACGTTTAACTACAAGGACTTTGGCGACTTACCTCCTATCTCGCGCAAGCCACTCGCTCTCTTGACGCTCGTGCAAGGCCAAGATGCCCTCCTCGACCTCTGGGCTTTCTTTTTAGAGATGTGCGACGTCGTGCCAGCGCGGACTGGTGCGCGCGGCCTGCTCCTACGTCTTGCAGGCTGCATGTGTCGGCGACTCGAGTTTACTGAGCTCGTGTCACTACACGGCGTCACGCTTGAGATGGAGCCCTCCGGTAAGTCGATCTCAGAAGGCCTAATTCGAGCGCAAAAATCTCTCTCGTAGTGAAGACGCGCATCCAAGGCTTGCTGCTCACGAGCCTCCAGTACTGCGGGAACAAGCTAGAAAAAAGCCGCATCTTGACGCAGGACCATGCGTACTTTGCCTCCCACGTGTACACGGCGGCGATTTACCGATTCCCCGTTCACGTCGGTCAGCCCATCCTGCGCGCCATTGCAACGTACGCCACGGAGTTGGCGACGCTGCCCGCTCCAGGATTTAAGAAGACGCCGTCCAAGGGTGCCACAACGTCAACAAATCTCGACGCAACGGTATGGTTCTGCGCTGTTGTCGGTACGATTCTGTACTTGTGCGGTGTCGGCATTGCTGAATCCTTGTAGACTCAACTGCGCCTACCGAGAAGGCTAGCGAGCAAAACGATCATTGTCGTGCAGATGGCTTTGATCGAGAGACGTCTGCTGACGCAGCCATTGCCGCCTACGACATGTACATACTGCGTTGTCCGCGCCGCGAGTATGAGTCACACCGCATGCTATCGACCGTGCGCGAGACCCTTGACAACGCCCTCGCAGCGGTACTGTACAAGGCTTCCGTCATTGTGTCTTTAGAACACCTTGTATGCGTTAGACGACGGATGATGGTCATGCATTCATTCACGCCTGTCCGCAGCTGCACACGGCCGTTGCCGCTGAAGCTGCGCTCTGGACCGACCGACCGCTTGATGCCGCCGTGATCTCGGCCGCGACAACACCGTTCCTGGACCGTCTCGCGACGCCGACACGCGATTCGATTCTTTGTGCAGCGTTCCTCTCGACCTTTATCGAAGACTCGGTTGTTTGGAGCTCGGTCTTGGCGCCATCAATCGCCTGGCGCTGCCTGCCAGGCTACGACATCATCATCCATGCGTTTGTCCAAGTGTTTCGCAAGGTAGCAGGGCGCCGGAAGAAGGCGTCAACGGCGCTCTTTCCTCCGCCACCACAGCCCGCGTCCCCCTATCGCAGTACTTTAGCGTCAAATGCAACCAAGTCGGATCCATGGGCTCCGTACTGGGCTCCAAACGAGCTCGAGCCCATATACGACGGGCTCGGCGATATTCTCGGCAACGACGCCCTCCTCAACGTCTTCGTGCAGGTACAATATACCTTCGTCTCTTTCTGTGATGTGCCGACGTTGTGCTAGATTGTACTGGAGGGTATCAACCTCTACGACCCACAAAGCGTCGATTATGGCTTCAACTTGCTCCAACGCGTGCTGGAGGCATCCGCATACAATCACCGGGCGTCCAGCGCAGACGACCGAGGCCAGCTTCCCGAGTCGCTGGACATCGTCGTATATTTGGGCGCGCTCCGGTCAGCGCTCGCGTCGAGCCATTTCCAGATCCTGCTCAAGGTGCTTGCCTTCTTTTACGCTACTATCGGTAATTCGCGCCCATCCCCAGCATTAATTTCCATGTCGAGTCACCATGGATGCTGGTCTTAGATCTCTTTGATTCGACCCGTCGGCGCCGTGTCGTCTCGGAGCTGCTCCTTCACGACCACTTTTTCCAGCTCTTCCTCCACTGGAACGAAGAAGTCCGGCGCATGTACGCACACGTGCTCGTATACAAGCTCTTTACGTCGCACCGCTTTGACCTTCCGCTCGTCTCGGATCGCGTGTTGTTAGCACCAAGCCCTTTCTTCCGTCTCTACAATGCACCGACACCGACGTTCCTTGCGGGTTTAGCGCATCTTCTGGGGCCACAGAAGTTGCAGACGACGACATTCATCCGCCCACCCGATCACGGTGCTGCTCTGGAGCGTCTGCTTGTGTGGGACACGTCGGCGACGCTGCGCCAGGCCACGAAGCAAGACCAACTCTTTCGCGACAGTCTCGCTGACGACGCACTCATGCTCGACTTGTCGATCGCAAGCAAGCTCGACGCGCTTCTCAAGATGGTCGCGGAGCAGGTCGGGGGTGTTGGTTTCGGTTACTACCCAGCACCACTCATGAGCTACGCGAAGAAAGCTGTGAGCCAGTACGTCGGGCTCCTCTGGGGCTACTATCAATCAGCCTTTGAGGACCCGATCCATCGCTGCCCGAACGCGCCGGACCTCGAGTTTACGGTGCAAAACTTTTTTGGCGCTGATTAGGACTCTAGTTCCGCTCTATTCCTCACTAAGCGAAAATATACTCAATTGATAGTGTGTCCAACGCCCGTCTGTTCCCGAAGGACGTCATGTACAGGACAGTGCCCTTGCTTAGAAGTCATATTTACGACGCTTGGAGCACATTGGCATCAAGATACGTTCGAGGAGATATTCTTCGATGATTGTGGTGATTGCTGGCCACGATGCAATAGCTTCGGATCGAACAATTGGAGACCTTCTGAAGTTCCAGCCCTACCCCGTATCTCGTATCCCGGCGGCCTCAACACAGTTGGAGTTTGCAATCGTCGGGATGGCGCAAAGACCTCCACCCATTAACACGACAACGAGTGCGTCGGCCGAGCCACCAAAACTAAGCCCGAGCCAGCGCGCTGCAGCTGCGATTGGCGAGGCCGCGACGTTTATCGTGGAGGGCGTCACCGAGTTCAAGGACGCGGCGGTCGGCGCCTTCCGCACGGGCAACATGCTGGACAGCAGCGACGTTAAAGTTGACGTTGCAACAAGTCCCCTTCACGAACTCTTCGAGCGCGGAAAGCAAACATTCGAGCGACACTTCTCCAAGTTCAAGCGCGAGTCCACGGGTGCTACGGATGCAACGGACGACGACGAGAACGACTACTATTCGGACTCGGACGATGGCGACTGGTGGGATGACATCCTCGATCTCCCCAAGAACGAAATCCTCCAGTCGCACCGTGAGAAGCCGTGGCACGAGGTGCCGCTGCCGGTGCTACGGAGGCTCGAGCTCGAAGTGCTTTTTCTGCTGCCGACCGTCTCGGTCAAGACCAAGCTGTACATCATTTTGACAGGTCCTGTTGTCTCGACGCTGGAGGTGGCTGCCGAGTGGGCGCTTGCAGCTGGTGTCCTTTTTCTCTACATGGTCCTCGTCGTCTTTGGCTCCATGGTTTATCTTGCCGCACTACTCACCGGGTCGCTTGCCACGGTTGAGAAGCTACCACTGGGTCAGAAAGTTCGCTTCGAGTACACCGCGTACAAGATGTTTTTGCATCTCGAGGTCGAAGAGGCGATGCAGTTCCGTGTGCGTGCGCCTCGGATTCGCGCGCTTGTGGCCCACGACGCGACACGCGAGGTGAAGCAGAAGCTGATGAGTGTCCTCGTCTCGACGGAAATCAACGCCATCCAAGCCAACATCGCGGGTAGCGTCAATTACACGGAGCAATGCGCCAGGATCTCGCTCGGGTCCGTCGTCGTCGCCGCACTCATCTACGTCGTTGCCGCCTCGGACCAGTTTTTTACGACGCACCTTGACTTTGCCGACATGAATACCAAGACCTTTGACGCGCTCGCCATCATCCTCCCGTACCTCCTCAACGAAGAGCTCAGCGTGATGCTCTCGCGCATGACGCTCGTCATCTCTTGGTTTGGCATCTTTCGGCACGAAAATTCAATCATGCACTTTTTCGAGCACAAGTTTTTGGCTACCGACACCCGTGTCGAGGACGCAACACGCACCGAGGTCGTCAACAATGCCGAAAAAATGTGCAAGGACATCGGCGTCGGGGCTGTCGACATGAGCAGCGTTGCATCTTTACTCACGGCTGTGTGGACGATCAACTTTTTGTACCAGAGCTACTACGTCGACACCAAGGGGTCCGGTGGTGCTCCGGGTCCAGCGGGTCTTGCCGACACGATGTTTTGGGGCATGGTTCTTTATTCGTTCACGATCATCATCCTAAGCTACCTCCCGTTCTCGTCATGGTACTCCCTCGTTGCGCTAGGTGTCGTAATGTAACTGAATTCGTAGGGTGGGTGGACTTCCCGTCCAGGATGAGAAGTACCAAGCAATGCTGTCCAGCTGCCGGAGCTTCTTACTCATGGACCGATTGTCAGTGCTCCAGCGCCACATCTCGGACGCTGTGCGAGACGCGCAGCATCATGCATCGGAGACGCTGGTCTCGCTTGAAGAGAAGCGATTGATTCGGCAGCTTCGTGGCGAAATCATCAAGCACCTCGACGCGACGTCTTTTGTGTCATATGTGCTCTACTCGGTGAGCCTCGCTGTCGTTCGCCTCGGCGAGGAGCGTATCGAAAAGCTTGGCAAGATTGAACCCCTTCGCGCGCGTGTGACGTACAAGTACTGTTCCAAGCTGCTCATTCCTCTCGACAAATTTGAGGAAACGGAGGTCGCGATGGCAGCTCTTGTGCTGGCCGGTGTGAAGGCGTACGACAGCAGTGATGACGAGGAAGTCTTGCGCGCATCGGAGGCCGGCGGTCTCATCAATCTCTACAACGCGCGCGATGGCGCAGTCATCAACTCTCTGTTCGAGTTTCAAGTGCTCGACACGAAGGTCCAGCACGCGTTTATGGACAAGGGCGTCGTGTCTCTCTCAAGCCTCATCGAGAACCCCCTCGTCCGAGACGCGCAGGTCTACTGGAACCCGCAGCTCAATCAAGTAGTTCTTGGCCTCGAGATCAAGGTCATGGAAGACTACACAGCCAAGAATGCCCATGACCGCATTGTGTTCGCGAGCATCTACCTTGCCGCAAACACGACGCGTGAATCCAAGTATGAGATCGGACACGGCGGTATCTATATCAAGAGCGATGTGCTGAGCCGCAAAGACATTTCACTTGGCCCTGTCGAAGGCCCTGTGACAGTCTTCCAAAAGGTATATACATGTACGGAAGATGGACATGATCTCAAGAACAATGTCTAGGTACCGGGTCGCGCGCGGTCCCGATTTCTGAACCGATGCTTCCTCGCCGCGACGGACGATCACCAGTCGTGCTACCACCCGGACGTTGTTTTTGGCGGTGCCATTCCTCGTAAAGGCACGTACGTCCAGCGCCGACCGAGCGGCATGGGGTACCCTACGATGTCAGTCTCGCGAACGGGCAGTGCCTCGCACATGACGGGCGATCGCTACAACTCGGCCAAGCTCTCGGCCACGGCCAAGCTATTTACGGGCGGCAGTCGCACGAACAGCGCCACCATGCAAGAGCGCACGGCAAGTGGCAAGGTGGATGTACCGCGCACGACCAGCTTCCCGTCTCCTGTCGTCATGAGCAGTCGCACGGGAAGCCTTCGCACACCCGTTGCGGATGGGCGTGGCGGTAGCTTTCCCGCACCAACAAGCGACGTGCACACTGCGAGCGCCCGTAGCAACGATCGCTACGCCAGCAACAGCTCGATGAATGAGAGTAGAGGCTAGTTCGTATTGAGTGTAATACTAATACGACTCAATCCTCGAGAAGCGGAACCTTCACATCTGTCTGCGCGCGGTGCATTGCATCGCAATAGTTTGTCCAGCTCACGGCGATGGCCTGAAGCTCTTCGCCCTACCGGCAGTGATGCACGCCATGAGTACCCGCGTGTCCAAATGCAATGGCATACAACATCGTTGAGGCGGTCGAGGTTTTGGTTGAGTGTTTGGAGGCCCGTAAGTACGTCACGCATCTGCTGCTAGCGTACATGAGGCAAAAGCCGCAGGTGACACGGCGCGCTACCTCGAGGATTGCGTCTTCGAGCTTCTCCTTCTCGGCCTTGAACGCTGCGCTCATCAACTCTTTGCGCTGCGACAGTATTTCCATGGTATTTCAGGGCACCTAACACTATATACATTGCCACGCTCGGAACATACATAAATAGTGCGTATTTCTACCTTCTTATAGATAGGTCCTGGGCACCAAACCGAGCGTAACTAACACACCTTGCACGAGTAGTTCCCTCTCACATACGACTGGAGCATCCGATGGGCTGCCTGAAGCGGTGACCTGGCAGATGATGTATTATACTATTTCTATGACCGTGTGTGCGACCAAGTGATTGGGTACGTTCGAGCCAATGAATGAGCAGTTTAGACAACACCAAGAGCATGGCGGACGACGATCGGCGCTTCATGGCCGAAGCACTCGCCGAGGTATAAAGCCGCGTGTATTCACCAAGCGCACGACGTGGCAGACTGTACCTGTAGGGCGAAAGGGCGTTGGAGCGCGGAGAAGTACCCGTCGGGTGCGTTTTTGTCCTTGGTGACCGTATAATTGGTCGAGGTGGCAACCGCACAAACGAGCTCTTCAACGTACGTGACGACAAATCGACAGCTTCTACAATGACCACGTAACGCAGGCAACAAAACACGCAGAGCTCGTCGCCATCGAGGCTATTCTCAATGCTGGTCATCCCTCCGAGGTGTTCCGTGACTGCAGACTGTACGCAACTCACCATCGCTGCATTCAAATCTGTGATAGGTATGTAACTTGTGAGCCGTGCATTATGTGCGCAGCGGCTTTGGCACTCGTGCAGGTCCAGCATGTTGTCTTTGGCTGTCACAACGACCGGTTTGGCGGTAATGGCTCCATTTGCGCCCTCCACACGCCAACGTTGCATACCTTATCCTACTGGTCAGCTTCCATTGTCCTCATCCTGACTTGCTTAGCGCCCTGCCGCACAAGGCACACATCGGATATCCAATCACGACTGGAGTCATGAAGGATGAGGCAGTTGCCCTTCTTAAGCAGTTCTACGACCGTGGCAACCCTCGCGGTACGACAGTATATTTCCATCTTCGCATCCAACTGATTCCACACATAACTAGTCGAAAACTCAAAGAAGAAGCGCAAACACGCGACCGACTAACTTGATGAGCACTGCCTTTCGGTTTGAAACTGAGAGTATTATATACGATGCACGAATGTCAATTGACTCGTTGTGTTACTCGTCATTTGAGGTTTCGCGACGAGCTTTCTTCGAGTACCGTCTGCGCTCGGCATCCAAGAGCGCATTTTCATTTGGTGCAGCGTCGCTTGCCGCCATAAAAACGTATCCAGCACGGACGGTGCTAGCAGCGATAGCATCAGCAAGCTTGGAGCACGCGCTGTCGTGGTGATACATCGAGTCGCAGTACGTGCAAAAGCGCGCGATTGGCGCCGAACTCTCACCTGGCAGCGCGACACTTCGGTACGTCAACCGCACTCGCCCTCTCTGCTTGTCCGTCGCCAGCTGCGCGCACTTCTCATCTCGGTGCTTTGTCGATTGACAGTAGGTGCAGAAGCGTCTGCTGGTATCGACGAGCGTGTCCTCTTCGTCCTGCGGCCACTCACCATCTTGCGGCAGCACGTACCCATCGCGAACAATGTGCAGACGGCGAGCGTGGTAGAGATGGCGACAGACGCTGTCAATGTGCTCCTTTGAGTGGCAATAGCCGCATGAGGAATGCACGGTCGGCTGTAGACCAAGGACGCTCTTTTGGAGCGAGAACGCGTCATCGGGAAGGTTGGCAAGCTGCTTCTGAACGCATGCCTTCAAGTATTCGTAGCCGCCCGTCGGATTGGCTTTTTGCCAAGCTTCAAACTCATGCGTTAGGTGTGGCGCAAATGCGTGGGCGAGGAACGAGGCCTTGGCGCTGTCGGCCATCGCCTTGCGAGCTTGCGCGATCGCACCGTGCCCGGAAGTCGCTAGAAGCGGGCGCAAGAAACGCTCGATGCCGACTTCGTACCGCGCGAAAAAGTGGGTTGCCGCTTCCCGCCGAATGTACTTGAGCATTGCAACCTGGTCAAAGGGTCCGAGGAGATCGGCGCTGCCTACACCGTGACCAATCCGGTTTCGCGTGCGCAGCATCTCCCAAATCTCAAACGCGGTCCGAAGTCCAATGAGATCGTCGTGGAGGCGCGGATCTAGAGCCGAGAGGAGGTACTGTTTGGCAAAGTGGGCGATGTGTCCCTTGATCGCAGTGCACTCGCCCATGACCGCAAGCGTCACGCGGTCATCCACGAGGCGTTGGCGGCGGCGCGAAGCTTCGTTGTACGTTGCGACTGATAAACCGCCAGGGATCCGCGGCTCGGCCACTTCGGCGCTAGCCGCCAAGAGATACATCTGCGCCGGCGAAACGTAGTCGGCAAGGTTCGGGTCTTCGTAGTCCTTGGTGCTGAGGTACCCTGCGATATGGGCAGCCTCGGCGTGGTCGAGGAAGCTCTCTTGCCACTCGTCAAAGTCCTCGTATTCGCGCAAGAGCGGGCCCAAGTACGGAACGCGCAGAGTAAAGAGGCTCATGATCACAAACAACACTGGGATTGGCTGCGATGTTCAGACCAGAGATCTGCAAAGTCGTCCAGTCCGTACGTCTGAAGCTGTACGTCCGTGTCCGTCCGTTTTTTTACGTACACGGACGGACATGGCGAGGCTCCTCTGGAAACCGGACGGACATGGACGTACAAAAAAAGCTGCGATAAATATCGGACTGGACACGGACGTACACAGCAAATCAAGTGGACAGGAACTTTTGTCCGTACGTTTCGTCCGCAAATGTCCGAAGCGATTTCAGCGTTGAGGAGGACCAGGAGGAGCATGGGAGAGGACTGTGCGAGATTCCAACGACTGTGGAAGGGCTCCAATGACTGTCGAATGCCTCTCCAGTCATGACGTTGAAGACGAGACAGGTCTAAGTATAAAAACTCTTCAACGAGCTCATTTTTCAATTCGACTGCGACCAACGACCATGATCCCGGGAGCCCGCCAAAGCACGATCCGCGACTTCGCGCCTCGAGTCGACCAGCTGGACGTCACGGACAACTGCGGACAGAACGGACCGTTCTGGACTGGACAAAATTCGGACGTACACGGACGGACAAAAAAAAGAGAAAAAAAGCCGTACGTACATGGACGGACATTATTTCCCCTATATAAAGCGTACGTACATGGACGTACAAAAAAAGCCCTATAATAAAACCTACGTACATGGACGGACCCAAAAATCCAGTGCAGATCTCTGGTTCAGACGACCATGCATAATTAAACGCATGGTCTGGGTTAAAGCTCCAATATTGCGTTAAAATATGACCCAAGGGTCTAAACGCAGCGAGCCAAGTGTGGGCCCATCTTTTATAGGACCGTTCAGCAAGTACCGGTACCAACTGTCCCAGCAAAAGGATACGTCTATGTTACTTTCAGACGCTTCTTCCCATTGGGGTCATTTGCCTTGCGCATGCCATTCGTCGACGTCGACGAATGACCCTCCTGCTTGGTCATCTTCTTTCGCTTCGACTTTTTCATTTTGGGGGACTGCGACTTAGGTGGTGGAGGCTCTTCGGACTTGAGGCCGGCCGACGAGAAACGCGGATGATCCACAAAGGCGTAAGCAGGCCGCAATGTACCCCGCTGGACACTAATGACGAGCCAACGACAATGTTGCTCGTCGTGCTTGGTCGACAGGCAATAGCCGCAGGCTCGCGCCGACTTGGACGCCAATGCTGAACTTCGTGGAAGCCGCTGGCCCGATGGTATGCGATATGTTGACGGTACTTTCTGGGAGCGCGCATGCACGTTCAGGACGGGACAGGCACCATCGAGATGCCCCACCGCATTGCAGTACGAGCACTGGCGCGTGGGGGGCAGAGCTGCTTCAGTTAACCCGAGGGTCTTCATGTCTTTGGCTGCGAGGGGGCAGCCATCATCACGGCAATGGCCTGCTACTTGACAGTAGCTGCACGTCGTCTGCGGTACCGAGGGTGGCGAATAGTCGCCTCGGACTTGGTCATTGGCCACGTCAACAGCACGTCTGACGCACGTTGCGTCAGTATGCTCCCCTTGACCGTTTTTCTTGACCTTCTGGCAGTACGTGCAGAGTGACAGCTCAAGCGCCGGCTCGGGTGCGACACTCTCTGCATGTCGTGGCGCCAGAGTCCTTGTCCTCGGCGAGATAGAGCTGCACTGTGCCCAGGCCTTGATGTCGGCGCACGAGCAGTCGGGCGTTGCGTCAAACCAAGTCTTGAAGTCGTCTTGACCGCAAAGAGCGTGCCCGAGGAAAACGGTGCGAAGTTGATCGAAGACACTCGTCGAGGCTGCGATCGCACCGTGGTACGCGGCCTCATCCCAACCCGTCGTGTCGCGTGGAACTGGCGCAAGCTGCGCAAGAAACGCGTCGATGGAGGCTTCGGTGCGCGTAGTAAATGCGACAATCGACTCCATCGGGAGGCGCACAACCTTTCGGTAGCTGTCATAGAAGCGCGACGGATCCCTGGGCTCTGTCGGCTGCTTGGCTTTCGTTTGGATATGCTGCCACATTTCGTACGCCTCGCAGATATGGAGCACGTCTGCGTGAAGTCGGGGGTGGAGCGCGGACCGAAGAAAGGCAACGGCATGTCGGGCACAGGAGGCCCGCATGACTGCTCGCTCCTTGTCGATCGCAGTCGAGTAGTGACTGTACACTGCCAGCTTCCGCTGCGCGGCTTGTTCCTGAAGCTCGACAAATGATGAGCTGCCCGCCAGTCGTGGCACAGCGGCTTCTGCTTCTTGCAAGAGTTGAGCATGGCGCGAGACGCTGATGTAGTTGACCAAGTTGGGGTCTTCGTATCCCGGCTTTGTGTAGTAGTCGGCGATGTGAATCGAACCAGCGACGGTGAGGAAGGTGCGCGTCCAGGCAGCGACGTTGTCCCAGTCTTGGAGCCGCTCCCGCGGGTACGTTGACGCGTCCATAGCAACCAGTTGGATCGCACTCGGATTCTGTGGTATCCGGAAACCCACACAGATGGAAACTAATTCATTATCCGGATATCCCTGAAATTTGCTGCCAACGAACCAGACAGACAGAGCATGGGCAAGTGCTCCAAGGACAAGCGCGTACGACGCCACGGCCTCGACAAACAGGTTTCCTCATCCAGCGTACCTAGGACATATACTATCGCAAGGCCAAGGAACAGGGCTATCGAGCACGATCCGCCTTTAAGCTTCTTCAGCTCGATGATACTTTCCGCCTACTTCGCGGTACTAGCACTTGGCCATTCTTTTGCAGCACCCCACCAAGCTGTTCTAGGTGCCACGCGCGTCGTCGACCTCTGCGCTGCACCTGGCGGTTGGACGCAAGTCATCTCTGAGCGACTGCCCCTGGCGTTCGTTGACAATAACCATGCTACATCATCTTACCAGTACTGGCGCGCATAGGACGGCTGGCGACGTGAGCATCGTAGCGGTTGACCTCATGGAGATGGCGCCACTGCCTAATGTCGTGCAGATCCAAGGTGACATCACAGCGCAGGCGACGGCGGACGCGATCATTGCCGAGTTCCATGGCGCGAAAGCCCAAGTCGTTGTCAGTGATGGTGCCCCGGACGTTCTCGGCCTCCATGACCTTGACGAGTACCTCCAAGCGCAGCTCGTGCTGGCTGCACTCAACATCAGCTTGAATGTGCTAGAAGAGGGGGGTACTTTCGTTGCCAAGATCTTTCGTGGCAAGGAGGTATCGCGCCTCTACGCACAGCTTGCGCTTTTTTTCGAGTCGGTTGTCTGTGCCAAACCCAAGGCAAGCCGCAACTCGAGCTTTGAGAGTTTTGTTGTGTGCAAGAACCTGCGGATTCCAAAAGGATACACGCCATCGATGGAGCTCAGCTTGTTCGACCTGCCATACGAGACCGAGGTGGGCCGCGTGGCGGGGTCGACCCACGTGGCTTTCCAGTCGTGCGGCGACGTCGATGGCTGGGACGCTGACCAGTCGTATCCAATGGACGATGCCGATGTGCACCACGAGCCGCTGCAGCGCCCGATCAACCCACCGTATGCACTGGCGCAAAAAACGGTTTAAAACCAAATGAACTTCATGGACGATCTCAGTACTAGTATCATGCATCACAGCAATCTATGCATCACTCATTACTGCAGCACGATGGCGCTTCTTGCCATTTAGGTTCGAAAGAACTCTCCTTTCAACTTAAAGTGAGGTGCCAAGTCATGTCGAGTGAGAAGTGCATGAACAGATCGGTTGAACACGATGAGAAGATGCAGACGTTTGAATTATTCGGTGTCGCGAAGAAGCATGCCGAGTTTCTCGATGCAGTCGGGAGGCGCCAAGTACCGTACAGTCCATTTGTCGAGGTCAATTTCGGTGAGCGGTGCCTCCGGAACACCAACAACGGGCGACGCGACAGAGAAGAGCGCACTGGGCTGCTTGGCGGCGACGCGCGCGTACAGGACGTCTTCGGCGACGAGATGTGCGAGTAGAGAGCGCACCTGTTGCAGCGGCAACAGCTTGTCCATGTGTTTCCAGAGGGCCACGTCGTCAGCGCCGGGGGCACCAAGTATGAAATGCAGCGCCGATCGCTGCATGCGTGTCCACCACTGCACGTTAATGGACCCGTTGAGCTTGAGCCAAGGGTGCGCGGTCTTGCCCGGCGACTTGGTGTCGAAAATGGCTTCATTGTTGGGTGCGACGACGTACGACTGCACTGTCCAAAACTTCTCGTACGACCGCAAGACGTATCGCGTTTGGACATACGCTTGGACGCAGAGCACGTCGTCCGACATCGACTCGATCTTCTCGCGCACCGCATTGTCATCAGCATCAAGCGCAAGAGCAAGCTCCGCGGCGGAGCAACCCTGCTCTGCTGCGGCGTCGAGCAGCCCGCGGATGGCATCGTCGTCGATTACAAATGTTCTTCGGGCTTTCTTGGTCAGCGGTAGCGGCGCCGTAAAGGCGTCCATTGCGTCCGAGGGCTGCTCAGTCGGCAGGTTATAGAAGATGGTCGACACGACCCACGGGTCATCCTGCGGCTGGAGTTGATACAAGTGCCCAGCGATACCGAAGCCAGCTCGGTCTGTTGCCTGCGGTCGCTTACGCTTGTGTGCGATTGCTGATGAGCCCCGCATAGTCGACGACTTGTACTCGATCGAAAATGAGCAACGACCGAGGACGAACGCAGCATGCGTCAGCGGTGCGCCGACGGTAAGCTGAACGCCGCCGTCGTCATTGTCATCAGCATCTTCGAGCGCATCGTCAACGACAGCAGCTTGCTCCGCAGCCTCTTCAAACATGGAGAGTGGGAACCGCACGCCGTCGCGCCAAAGCATGAGGAGCTTCCTCGAGAGAACGTAGCCGCGTTGAAGTTGACGGTGGGTTGGAGTCGTTGCGTGCACGATCCAGCCGCGCAGCCAGAGGAGGCGCCAAACTGTGTTGATTTCCCTGCGCGTCCAGTGCAAGAGCAGGTGCTCCGCGGCCATTTGCAGATACGACGCGTCCGGGCAGAGCACAATCATCAGCACACGATTAAGTAGTGCGGTCATGCGCGGCTGCGTCATCACGGCGTCTTCTTCAACGAAAACCGACTGGCCGAAAACGCGGTTGTGGAGGTCCACGAGTGCTTGCTTGGAGCTCACTTGGTCAAGAAGCTCGGCGAGGCGCCGCCGAAGTGGTCCCGCACTGGGCGGCCGCGACGGTCGAAGTGCTCGCCCGATAGTGGCGACCGAGAAGTTGACGCGCCAAGCGTGGGGTGCTCGGACGAGAACGCTTTCGTTCTCACATTGCATATCCTCAGGCACGGAAACCCGCCAGTTGGCCTCGAGCTGTTTAAAGTAAGCTTCGAGAATCTCGTTGTCTTCGTCCGGCGTAAAGTCGACATGATCGACCTCGACAGTGATGCGGCGTTTGGCGGCCTTCGCGAGGCGCGGCTTCGCGTACGGTGATCGACGCCGGGGCCGCGGTACGCGACTCGAGCCGGGGATGATAGCGCGAAGCTCCTTTTCGCGCGCTTTTCGGTTCTTGTAGCGCTCCGACTGCGTACGTGATGTCCACGAGATCGGTACGAGAAGGTTTACGTGCGAGAAAACCAGCGGCTTGGGAAAGGCTTGAACCTGGCCCGGGCCTGCCGCGAACGAAAGCGACTCGAGCGCAACACATTGCAGCGCCTCCCAGTAGAGATCGACCTTGTCGACGGTTGTGAAGTCCATTCGGAGTGGAATCGCATGACCAAACGAGTACTGGTGCCGGGTCGCAATCACGCGGCCGATCGACTCGGTCGCCCAAACGCCCGCACTGTCATCGAGGAGAAGTTGACCGTGCGTGTGCCACACCAAGAGGAGGTTACTCCGGCCCACGTCGGCTTGGTCGCGCAAAAGCACCTCGACGTCTTCGTTGCGCTTGGCGTTGGCGTTGGCGTTGGCGTGTACATGTTGCAGCAACTGCTCGAGTCGAAGTCGGTACGTGCTTACGAGCTGGAGAGACTTGAGCATGTTAAGGAGCCGCAGACACCGCCGTGTCTGGCGGTACGTGACTTTACGCCGAAGGCCGTCATCAAGCGCGCTGAGAGTCGCGTCCGCGGACAGCACGCGCTCCACGGTCGCGTATTCGTCGGGTGTGAGCACGTGGCCGATGCCAAAAATACCGATGTACTGGCGCACACGCATCGCTGCGAGCATCGCGTCCAGCGAGAAGACGATGGCGGTGGGCGTCGAGGCTTGCTTCAACAAGGTTGTGAGCACGTCCTCGTTGCCACTGGCAGCTATTGTCGTCGTGTGCAGGTACTCGAAGAGAAGTCGGTGATAGACGCGACATCGGTGCATCATACCGTGGCACAGACCAAGCGAGCGCGATTGCTTGGTGCGCGCGAGGTCAGCCTTGTGCACCGAGTGGAGTTTGGCCTTCATCATGTACTTGATCGCGCTTGGGTCGATTTGCGTGACCCGACCATCCCGCACCGCGACCCGCGGGTTGGTAAACACTTTGGTGTTGAGTCGTTGCACGCGCGTGTCGCGACTGTAACGCGCAAGGTACGCTTCGAGCTCGTTCGGTGTCACGTCCGATGCCAACGCCACCGAGACATTGCGCGTCGTACCGGGCACAGATGCCGTCTTGATGGGTACGGCGACAGCGCGCTGTTCGAGGTGGCCTTCACCCTGCAGGCTATCGAGGAGCCGCTGGATCGAGCGCGTGTCGACGCGATGGCCCGCGATGAACTGGATGTTCTTCGTGCCTTCGTGGAAGTTTTCCATCTCGATGATCGACGAACGCAGTGAATAGAGCGAAACGATGCGCTCTTTGGCGACGCGCGCCGCAATGTGCTCCTTCCGGAGAGACGCCGTGTCGTCTGTCGGTGCGTCCATCGCCGCCGAGTTTCGCTTCAAGCTGTGGCCGTGGCACGGGCGCTTCCACGTTCCTCGGCGCTCTGGCTCCGGCTTGACGTCCTCCATGTCCTCTTCGTCACAGCTGCTGTCGCGCTTGCGCTTGGGTGCTGTGTCGTCCGGCGCCATGGGGAAAAGCTTGAAGACCGAATTGCGCCCGACGACAACCTTGGTCATGCGGACGGCGTACGCTGACGTTGCAGTGCTAAGTAAGCGGTACGTGGTCTTCGGTCCTGGAATTTCGAGAAGGCTGCGGATTTCGGGCGTCGTGATGCCCCCCGAGATCTGGATAAGCTGGTGGATCTGGTGCATGACGCCCGACTCGAGGCCCAACCGTGGCAAGCCGGGAAACGGGTCTGGCTCTGGCTCAATCTGGCGGCGCTTGACGCACCACAACTTGCGCTTCGTGTCCGTCCCGACGATGGCCGAAAAGATTTCGACCGGGAATGACGACGCCTGACGCTGGCCTTCGGCAATGATGTAGTTTTTGAAGGCCTCGAGCTTGTATTTTTGATCCGCGATCGTGCCCCGGACCGCGTCGGCGAGAACACACTGCGACACGTTGTGCGTCGACATGTACTGCAGCATTTCGATCACTGTGCGCTGCTTCCACGCGAGGTCATCCTCGAGTATCGCGCCAGGAAAGAGCGCTTCGTGGTCAAAGTCGTTGGCAAACCGCGCGAGTAATATGACGTTGAACCGTTGCGGTCGACCCTGACCAAGGATCTGCAACATCTTCTTCACGACAAGCTTCAAGCTGAGGAGCCGGTCCAGTTGGTGGTGCACGGCGCGGATGTCGCCCGTCTTGCTCTTCACTTTCTTCTCACCGTTTGCTGCCTCCGAGACGGCCGTCGTGAGGTCCATCATAGATATTCCTTTTGCCCGCGTGCGGCCGACGGTCTCCAGGATCAAAAGCTGTGTCGGCGGGAGGTCGCCCGACGGTGTGACGTGCAGCGCGCGCAGACGTAGGTCCTCTGAGGCGACGATCACAATGTCGAGTGCGTCAGCCAGCGCGACAGGGGCGTCAGTTAGGCGCGCGCCGTCGGCAAAGAATGCGATCGGGTGCGGCGGCAAGAGACCCGATGCGCGAAGCACGTGCCAGCAAGCTGTGCGCACTGCTGCGTCGCCACTGCTCTCGTGGTGTTCGAGCAGCTGGCGCAGAGAGATACCGCAGCGGCCTTCCAGTGCAACGGCCTCGATGAGGTGCGGGGTCAGCCGGAGCGCCGAGGTCATGCTGCCGCTCCGATTGGCTCTGATTGGTCTCCGGATGCTCGAAATAGCCAACCGAAAATCACTGGCTCCAACGGGATTTGAAGTCGCGGCTCACGGCGTCGATGGCGCAAAGCAGCAGTCCGAAATTGCATTGTCGAGTATTGTACCGAAGCTCGTGACTTGGAAAAATTAATTGATTAGCCCTGCAAGATCCGCTGAAGTGCTCGATTCCACGGCGTTTCCGCGGCTTGATAAATGTTGACGACATAACTTTCTTTCAATGATTAAATGATGCACGGCTCCAATCGCGTGCCAGGCTTTCCGAGGCAGTCTATTATTTGGTTGCATCGACTTGGACCGGTACGAGGGTGGAGGCATGACGGTTTCGCTCTCGGTCGCATTTTGTCAACAGAGACAATCGGTTGCGTGTTCTTCGTTTGTGAACAGTTGATTAGTGGAAAGAGGCTATATCTACCCAACTTGTGTTGAAGTCGGCGTAAACTTGCTTGTTGCTCGAGCTTCTTGAGCAACAGCGCTCGAGTGGAAACATTGGTATGTAGCTAAATTGAGTCACATCATTTACCGGACCGAGCGCTGGCAAAAAGATTCACCAACAACGCGCTGGGGCTGAGTGACCGAAGTTGAAGTACGAATTTCACAAAAGGGGGTGCCCGTACCGCCCGACAAGGCCTCCAACTCACTTTTGAATCTGCTGCACCATGGTCACGTTCGCTGTCTCTCCGGTCGCCCGCAAAACTTTTGGAGGTCGTGTTTCGCCCGAAACGCCGGTCCGTGCGATGGCCGAGCTCGGCGCCGATGACGTCGTGCATGCTTCGCCAACGATCTTACCGAGTTGTGCTGCCCCGAACGGGTTTGTGCACGGGGTCATGCTCGCATACAACGGGCACCACGACTTGATCATTCGCCCGGATGACATTTGGGCTGCGATTATGATCCAGTTCGGGCGCTACGTCAACGGTGCCCCGGATGATGTGAAATCGACGATCATCCATTCGGGCTCGAGCACCGACCTCGTCCTCACGATCCCGGGCGACAACGTTGCCAACTACGATGAAATCGCAGCCAACTTGGTGCAGCGCATGCAGTCAATTCTTGTCGACCCAGCTTCACTCGAATGGATGCTTCCCAGTTTCACGACAACGACACCGCACGACACGATCATCGGAAGCATTGCCATGCTCGCATCGATGAACGAGCCCGTGTGCTCCATGCCCACGATGCAGTGTGGCATCCCACATGTGACGCTGCTTGGCTCGGTTGCCGATTGGATGGACATTCGAGCCCGTGTTGAGCGCTTTGCGGCACTCGGACTGCCCGGATGGGCCAAGATGTTGCACTCGACCCTCGACAAGTTCGTGGCAGCTACCGAGGGCTGTGTGGACGAGGCCTTCTGGCAGCACATGGTGCTTGATGGCGACGCCTCGGATGCGCGCTACGTCAGCGGCTGGATTTGCGTTTTCTGCGTCTTTGCCAACGACGGCGCGTGGCAATGTGCGAAGGGCTGGACGAGCATCGAGACGACGCCTGAAGATGAGGACCAGTACCCGACGCTGCGCCTGGACCAAGTGCCCGCGGGGTACGTCGTTGTTGACGTCAAGCTTGAAGACGAGTCGAGCTGTTACGACACGGTTCTTCTCGCGGGTCACATGGCATACGGCGTCCAAGACGGAGCGACGATCGTGCCTCAGCTTGGGTGGGCTATCGTCTTCCAGAATGCTCTCAACGAGACTGATGCTGCACTCATCACCGAAACCCCCGACGCACAGCGCTCACAGACAGAGGTGCTCGATGAAATGACTCCAACCTCGGAATGCGACGAGAGTGATGACGGCGATGCCCCTTGCAGCCAAGTGGCGGCGACGATCACGTCGAGTCACGACGCGCACCTCGAATTGCCGCAGCCTTCCTTGCCGCTCTCCTCGTGGGCGGTTGTCCTTGTGCAGGTGCTGGTTGTCGTCGTTGCGATCAGCATCACTGCCGGTGTGCGTTGGAGCCACGCCAATTGATCGTCGTCTCTGCATTTCAATACATGTCGCCTCCTCTACCCTTTGCTTCTTGTAGTGTCTCGAATATTCTGCAACTCTAATGGATTGGGCATTTATCTCTACGGTGGTCTCTAGTGCAGCCAATTACGGATCGTACTTGCGTCGGCGTCGTGGCAGCTTCGTCCATGACACTTCAAAAGGTCGGTACAAGGTCGTCGGGTCGTCATAGCGAAGAAGCACCGTCGGCACGGCCGCGCGGAGCAAGTCGGCTTCCTTTTCTTCTTCCCGGCGCTCGCGCTCCTTGCGCGTTTTGGCCGTGTACTCTTTCGTGCTCTTGGACTTGGCATTCTTGCGCTCCATGGGCAGCACCTCCTTCGGGTCTGGAAGCGCCGCAAGGTACAGCCGCAGCTTCTCCATGACGAACGCCGCATCGTTATACGTCTCGAACGCAAGCTCCATCGTGCCGTTTGTCAGGAGAATGTCCGGAAGTGCGTTCGGACCGAGCGTAAAGTCGACGCCAAGCGCAGCGCGCAGCGAGGTTTCGATGTCTGCGATGCGCGTGCAGTAAGGAATCGAGTGGAGCGTGATGACCTTGCGCGGCTCGGCAGCATGGGAGAAGATGGCGCGGTTCTGCTTCTCACCTGGGACCATGACGCCAAAGATCTTGAGCGCCGGGTGGAGCGCCCGCTCCACGGAAGATGGCGACTCAAACTCGACAATGCACTCGTGCGCTGTCAAGCGCTCGCTCGCGACGACGTTCGAGAGCGTAGATGTCTTTCGCGCCTTGGGCTCGTCTTCGGCGGTCGTTGTCTCATGCACTATCTCGGCGTCGTCCTCGTCCTCATCTTCGTCGTCTTCCGGAACCACGGTCTTGACCTTCTTCGAGCGGCCCTTCTTTTCCGACTTCGGCTTGTCGACGACAGTCTCGTCGTCCGTGGCGACGTCGTCGACACGTGGCGCAACGCCCGCGCGCGGCTCGGCAAAGGTGAAAATCTTCTTGATTGGGCCGAGATGGCGCAAGCTTTTTCGCAGCGTCTCTTCGGTCGTGAGATCAGCAAGGTTGCCGTAGAAGACGGACGTTGACGGGTGCCACGCCATCGCTTCGACAGGCGTCGAAAAAGTCACGGACGTGCGCACTTGGCGACCGGTGTTGACCATTCGGAGGCGCGAGATCGTGAGGGCCTCGAGCGTCAGGTCCGGGATAACCTGGCGCATGAGCTCGACCATAAAGACTTGGCACTCCTTCGGGAAGAGGCCTTGGACGTCCTGGAGGAAGATGCCGTCGGACGTGTCGAGGTTCGAACGCCACGTGAGTTTATGCCGCACAAAACGCGAGTAGAACGAGTGGAAAGCCTTGTCGTTGAACAGCGACGCGAGGTTCAGCGCACACGTCAGCACGCGGTCGCGGGTCTCGACGGGCTTGAGCGCGAGCGTTCGGTCGAGAGATTCTTCATCGAGGCCTTGAATGTACACGTGGGATGTCCGCATGCGCGCATCGAGGAGAAGCCGCAAAAAGGCGTCGTTTCGGTTGCTGTACTGGAGGTAGTCGATTGCATAGATCGGATCGTCCTGAAGCGTTGCGAGCGTGACTCGGTCCCCTGAGAGATACTGCACGATCGCGTTGACCCACGCTTCTGTAAACTGGCGCGGCTGAGACGGCGCGGCCTGTTGAATCTCGCAGGCCACATCTTGGAGGATGTTGCGGTGGGCCTTGGCGTTCTTCACGAACGCCATCATCATGCTCAGGACCTTCTCAATCTCATGCGGTGTCAAGCGCGCGTCGCGGAGTGTCTGCAGCGCCTGGCCCGCAGCCTCGAGCTCGCCGCGAAAGTCGACAAGGTCCGACTCGAGTGACATGAGGTCCCACTCGTCCAAGGGCTCGTCTTCCGTCGGCTCGGCTGTCGACTTGGCGCTAATGCCGCAGTACGATGCCATCTCTTCCCAGCCCTGCGCACGGAGGAGCGTGTGCAGCTGTCGCTTGAGCTGCGGAAGCGACGACGCTGGGCGTTTCAGCGAGTGGCGCACGTGCGTCATGATGCAAACGCGGCGGCAGTGCACAAGGATCACGCGGCATAGGTCCTCGTAGAGGGGGTGGTCGGGGTGCAAGAGCGACGACGCATCAAGACTCGACTGCTCAACATCTTTGGCGCAGAGGAACGCACGCAAGTAGTCGTACTCCTTCGGGTACTCGTCGCGCATGAGCTCCTCGAGGCTCTCAAAGAAGCGCGTCACCGAGAACTTGTTTGGCTTCGGGTTCGTCGTGTAGATGCTGAGCTTGCGCAAGATAAAGTTGGTCGTCCGCTCATTGAGGCTCCGACGGAAGACTGCCATAACGCGCTCGGCCTTGATCGTAGCGTCCGACCGCGTCTCCTCGCGCACGTCCGTGCCCGGCTTCTCCACGTACTCGTTCTCGTAGTGCGGAAAGCCCATTCGTCTCGCCGAGTACGTCAGGTCAACAGCAATCCCGTCGTCTTCAATGTCGCGGAACGGCATCTTTTCTTCTTGGATGAGCTTGACAGGCTCGACGCTGTGAAGGTCAGCAGGCGTCAAAGGTGTCGATGCAACGGGCGCGGCCTCGAACGCCAGCGGCTTGAGCGTAGATGGCGTCGCCTTTTTGGGCATCGCAGGGGCGTCTCGCTTGTGATCCCACGTGGCAAAGGCCCGCACGGTTAGCGGTCGGCGAAGCGCAAGCGAGCGCTGCCGAAGCGCGGCGACGCACCCGCGGCCTTGGCGCAACATCTTGCAAGATCGAAATGGACTAGGTCCGAGCCCAATAAAAAACGATCCATATTTTTTACTTGGCCATACTAGCATCAAGTACGCATCATTATATACAGCGCAGTTTTTTCTAAAACCGTTCGACCAACGAAATCCACTGGTGCCAATGCATAACCATCTCATATACTATTTCAGTTTTTCGACTGTCCAAATAGTGAATCATTACGTCGTCATTCATGCCCAGGGACTCCAAAGTCCAAAACTTGTTCGTGGTTCGGAAATAGATTATGATTGTAAATGCTTGGGTCCAGCGCCGCGCAAAGGCTGTAAAGTAGGATATGTTGCGCACATTGGCAATTTCGCTCCACCTGTGTCTCGGACTTGCGAGGTTGAAGCAGGTCACTAAATAGTGTTATGATGCCATCGGGCGAAGCCGGGTGAATCAGGTTGCCGATTGAACGCCTTCGCAAACCGATATGGTGCAAAACCCAGAGCTGCAACTAGTCAGACAACACGATAGTGCGCAAGTGTTACTACATTGGCATGGCCTTGGGACCGAGTTATTTGGGCCGCGTCGATGTGCTACTTGTTGTGCACGACGACACCGCTCGATGGCGAAACGGGCAACGGGCGATGATGGACGAACGCAAGGACAAGCTGGCTAAAGTCGTCGGGCTGCTCGAGATAAAGCCAATGCCCGCAACGCTCGAAGACGACGTTGGTGCAGTTGGGAATCATGTTGCCGACGACAAGGGCGCCAGCCATCGGGAAGATCTTGTTCTTGATACCGCCGAGGAGGTTCAAGCACGGAATCGAGATTGTGGGTAGAAGTGGCCGCCAGTCGATCTGCGTGTGGTCGCGCATGAGCGTCGCGAGCGCTGTTGGCTTGCATTGGAGAACGTCAGCGCACAGAATATCGAGAATATCTCGCGGCACGTCGTCGCGGACAAGGCAGCTGTCGAGGTTGCCTTGGGCGACAGCGGGCAAGTTGGTCGCAAGCATGTGCTCGATGCCCTGCAAACTCGCTTCGTCGTAGCAGCCATAGCCGTGCAGCGACCAATCCTCGCGCCGATTCTGCAGAGGAAGCTGGTCGACAAAGATGGCTTGGTGCACACTGGCACAGCCAAAGAGCTCGACGAAGCTCCAAATGACGGCACAGCCCATGGATGTACCGATGAGCGTAAGCTTCGACTTGTCCAGGTTTAGGCCTAGCACGAGCTCACGAACGTCAGCGGCTAAACGAGCAATGTGCATGCCATGCGCCGGGCTGTCCGACTCGCCATGGAAGCGCATGTCGAGGCAGATAACACGGCAGGTCGCCTGGAGCTGCGGAACGTTGCGGCAGAAGTACCGGCGGCTCGCGCTCCATCCATGGAGAAAGAGTACAATGGGTGCATTGGCTGGCGATGAGGCAACGGTGTCGTCGTATGCCAGACGACAGCCGTCGGCCGTCGTGAAAACGGGCATTGTGCAAACTGCTTGAAAGTCCACCAGAACTCAAGACCGGAACCTCTGTATCCAAGACCTCTTATAATTTATACAACCGGAACCTTCGTATCCGAGACCTTTTATACTTTATATGTTCTTTCATGTTGGTGGGGTGAGTGCTTGAAGAAGATCGAGCTGGCGCACGTAGGCAGCAACGGCCGCGGGAAACGTCTCGTGGAGATATCCGAGAAGAAATGTGTGCGTGCGTGTGGCGCGTGCAATCTCTAATAGCTTCGCTTGGGCGGGACTGGATAGCCGCGACGGCGGCAGCTGCTGGGCCCAGCCTTCATCGAGCACGCGCGCGACTGCTGCTACGAATTGGTCGCGCAAGTATTGTCGCTCCTGGACGTCTTGCCACATCTCTGCGTCTATCCACGTCACTGGACGAATTGTTGAAGTGCGCCAGCCACAGCGGCGTGTGCGCTTTTTTGCCAACGCGGTGCGCGCGGCATCGCCGCGCTCGACGGCATCGCATGCTGCGTGCAACGCTGTCGCCGCACGCTCAAGCGCCGCTGCGATAAAGTAATGCGACGAGTGCCACTTGTCCCAAGCGACTCGGAGATTTCTCGTGACCTCTCGGCCTAAATAGGGCCGCGGGTCCCCTTCGCTGCCCTCTATGTGGTGTGCCTACATCATTGGATGGCTCACATCATACCCGAGAAGCCAAGAACGTACGACGTCTGATAGCACTCGTGCCACAAAGCACACGTCTGATGCGTCGACGTGGTTTAATGTCAGGTATTGCGTCAACTCTTGGACTGCGATTGGTGACGTCAGCGCGTTGACGAGCATCGCGGGATCTGTCTCGGCTGCAGCTTGCTGGAGACTATGGATCGCGGTCGTGGCCGTTGGTAGGCGACTACACAACGTGCACAAAAGCCGCAGAAACGTCTTCTTGCGCAAGCAGAGAGCATTCGACGCATAGAGTGTGATGACGGTCGTCGCAGCCATGTAGCGTGCGTCGGCGTGATTGGGGTGGGGCGACGCGGCAAGGATAAGACTTAAGGACACAACGCCTTCAGCCTGGCGCCGGTTCATTGGCACGGTACCCGCAAAGTGGGCATTTAGTGGGGAGAGCCAGAGCCCAAACCCGATAAGGTTTGATGCTTCATCGTTCTTCTCACGCCCTTCTCCGTCCGTCTCTTCTTCGAGTGGCGCACACGCTGCGTCATCAAGCGACGACAAAGCGACGTATGCTTGGCAAACGGCGGCAACGGGCAGACCTTCGACGTCTAGAACTGAAAGGGTCTCGACGAAATGCAGCTGCTCGATGAGGCCAGCAGCTTCTTGCAGCTTAAATGTCGTCGCCTCGGCTGCTATCGATAGACACGCGACTGTGCGCACCGATAGATTAGAATGGCGCAGCGCTGTAGCGTGGCAATGCGAGTGCGGAAGATGAGACAGCAAAGCCCGCTTGAACATGAGCACGGTCGCTAAGATCCCAAAAGAAGTAGGTACGACATGCATCGCGTACGACGGTAACACGGTGTAGTCTGTGAGGGCTTGAAGAGTCGAAACACCAAGAGCAGAAGCAAGTGTGGCTGCGCAAAGCAAGTGCATATAAAGGCCCGCACCTTGATACTACACAAGCATATCAACGGTCAATTGAATGACGAGCGATGGCAGTGAAGTATACTGGAAGTAGGTAAAAAACTGAGACGACGCCACTCGCGAAGGCTATCGCTGAGAGAATGGCGGCAATCGTCGAAGGTAGAATTGACGCGCGCAAAATCTGTGACAGCCGAAGAAGGTGCACATATCGACGAAACGAAGCGTGCTCTTTCCAGCCAACATCGAGCGGCTCGTACAAGTGCACAGAGAAAAGAGTAGCAGCAAGCGCTAGGCTGGCGGCAACAATCATGTGCCACGGCGACGTGTCCGGGATCACAACGAGGCCGTAGACGTGCCACGGATGTATCGCGACGACCCAGATTGGCGTCAAGAAATGGGCAAAAAGCAGCCGCTTTCTGGAAAGACACACCAGGAGCGAGGGCACAAATGCAATACCAGATAGCGCACCCACGTAGAAGCCCAAATTGTTTGCCGACGGTATCCAGAGAGCTTCGCCATACAAAGAACAAAATGCGCCAGCGTTAAAGTACACAGCGTCCAGGCCAGCACCCACGTAGCAGATTGCGCCGTGAAGCTGGTGCCAACGTGACGACAGCATCTGGCGCTTGGCAGCGTCTACGTAACCACTCGTTCAACGCCGAATTAAGCCTATGGCAAAGCAACGTACCTGACAGTGTTTGCAAGGTACTAGACAAGAGATGTGGCCGCCAGCGCTCCAAGATCACGATGGTTCCCACGGCGAGCGCGGTAGCTACCGTTGGCAGTAGCACGGGCATGTGGCCTTTTTTCCCCTAAAAATAGGCATCGCGCAGCCATTGCAAGTGGTACTGATCCCGTCCATGAATGCCTGCAGCTCCGAGGACGGCAGTGGCGCTTGTTCGCGTACGCAATGGACTGCTTGTGGCCTTGATTTCCTTCACTTTGCACTGCCACTCACTGCATGGGGTCTGTTTCTGTCGCTGACCGTCGCCTTTGTGCTCTACACACGCATGTGGGAAGAGTTTCGGCTCCAAATCGACGACCTTCACGACATTCCGGCACAAGGTAATGATTCGGTGTGTGCTTCAAGCAAGCTCTTAATTGATGCTATTACAAGCACTGGGTATCGTTGCCGCCCGGCAAAAGCACATCGTACTGGGTCGCAAGATCAAGGATCCGCGCCGGCTCCTCACACTCGCAGCGATGTGGGCCGAGCTACCAGGCTTCAGCTACCTCCCACTTCAGCTGCTACACTACGACTTCACCGGCACCCTGGCTTTTCCTACGTCTTCTGCCACCGAGGTACGCGTCATAGGGTAACTTTGCCTTATCGCCATGACAATTATTCCTAAGGTGTATCGGGCTGCGCTGCTGACGGGGCTCTTTTTATTTCTCATGCTGACCACATGCGTTCGGCTGCGATGCGTTCTCGTTCTGCGCGCTAAGGTTCTCCTTCCGTGCCTCTACGATGCGCTCTATCTCGTATACATGTACGCGATTCTCGGTATTCTCTCGTGCGCGGAGCCACTGGATGGTTTTGTCGTTGCGGGCGCAACGTGCGCGTGCGGCGACCGCGTCTGGCCAACTGCGGGCGCTGGTGCATTGGTCTTCAGCCTCTTCTACCTCACCGCCCTGGTCTACAAAGTCCAACTCACAGACGAGGTGTTTGCGACACAGTTTCGATACCAAACGTCGTTCTCATCGCTCATGACAATGACTCGTACCGGTACTCACCATCCCATTTTGTACCGCTCATATAATTGTGGCTATACGTAGCGTGTTGTCTGCAGTACATGACAGCGACACTCCTACTGTCCCGGGACAGTGGTGTTCACAAGACGTCTATCAACCTCATTTTTGGTTGCGTGAACGGATTCATTATGGCTTGCTTGCTCCGGTACAACTACCGCTACCAGCCCGTACGTTCCTAAACGATCGATTTGAAATTTTTTCCAAGTCTAATGCGCACAAGTAGTGTTTGGGGTCGGGACGATTTCCCAACAGCTTGCGATCACTTTCGTTCTCAACATCGTGCTATGTATCGTACGTGCTGGTACTCGTCGAGCTTATCGCACCCTCCAACGGGACGAAGACCGTCGTCGTTGGAATTGCTTGCGCTTGCTACCCGCTCATTGCCGTGATTTTGTGGCGTGTAAACTCCAAGCGGGCGAACTACTTCCACATACCCAGCCTGCCGCTCGTAGAGTTGCTGAGCCATAGCAACTACCGCGTGCGTACGGTCGCTGTCGTCAGTGTCGTACTCGAAGACCACACGAAGTGGCGCGCGCAGCAGCTTTTGCACATCGTGACTCTTCTGCAGCAATGTTTACTTGTCCCGGCGGGCGTCGAGGGCGGCCTCTTGGTGGCGTACACGTGCCAAGCTCTGTGGCACCTCGACAACGTTCATTGTCTTCCTCATCAATCACTCGAAGATTCGCCTCCGTTCGTGCCCAAAGGTCTCTGGCTCGGCCGTGATCCCGTCGAGCGTCGCCGATCGAGCATATATGACCCCAAGTAGAATTACCCTTTCTGTGGATTGAGCGAGGTACTGATATGCTGCCATGTCACACATAGTCGATCGCATGACATTGTTGAACGCAACGCAACGCGCAGCTCGGCAACAATGACAACATCGTCCGTCGTGCCCCGCCTGTCAAGTGCACTCACGATTCAGTGCATCGCAACTCGTCTTGACGAGACCGCTTTGGTACCAATCTTGCAGCACGCGCTCGGGAAGGCCATCTCTATCTTCGACGCACCGTTCGTAAAGGCGCGAGCCGTCGTCGCCAAGATGCTCCAAGAAATGTACGTGAACGGTGCCGTGCGTCTGTCCTTACCCACGTATCTCCACGTGCTCTGCACGCTTTGTGTGCACCACCGGCAAGATGTCGTTGCGGCCGCGGCTGCATCGCTCGGCCACATTGTGACAGTCGTTCCTCGCCGTGAATGGGGTCCCATCATCTGCGACCGGCATAAGCTTGCGCCGCTTGCTGCACTTTTAGTCCATCACGCTGGAGTTGCACCGGCTTTGCTCAGCGACACAATTATCGGCCGCATTCTTACGCATGCCATGGACCGCATTCTGAACAACATCACGGAGCGCGATCCGGCCACGTACTGGTCAAACCAGTTTATCACACACATGACGATGGCATGGCGCCACTGGGAGCACAGCTACACCTTGAGCATTGCTCTAGAAGACGTTTTGCTAAAGATGCATCGAGCAAGTGTCACGTACCATGCTACGCTGCGTCGACCTGAGCCGTCGCCTCTGCCCCGTGTCCGATCTGTGGGGACTGGTCTTTCCGCGGGTGACATCAAGACAGTATCACCGTCGCAGACTCGGCACTCAACGCTAACAAAGGCGCATCAGAAACGCAGTTTTCCAGGACTCATGGTAGCGACGGCGAAGCGAAGTTTCGGCTCGCTGCAGCTGCGACATCGGGGCGCGAAAGGCAAGCTATCGTTGCAGCGAATGGCGCAGGCATTTCGCCACGGCAGTGTCGTGCCGCAAGCGATTCTAAAGGAGATTGCACTTCGACGCGACTTGCGCAAGGAGCTTATGACACACTTGAAGCTGGTTCTGACGGAAGGCCTATCAGCACAGCAGCTACCACAAGTGTTCTCACCTCTCGCGCGCAGTGCACTCACCGAGGCAGTGTGTTTGTTGCACACACACCGCCGACTTCGAGACCACATCGAGCACGCGCTTTCGTCCGCTGAGATGCGTTACGTGCGCTTCCTCGAGAGCTGGGAGACGATGCGCCAAAAAGCACTTCCCTTCTTCACGGACGCGAGTCTCCGCGCGTCCAAGCACCGTGTCGCACCCGAGATCGCGGCCATTCTCATTGCGAAGCGGTCGCGCTTTGCAGGTCCCCGCATCCCCGATGCAACGTAAACCGATGTCATGTAACACCAGTGCAATTACAATGGGTGCAGACGGTCAGATAGCTAGCTGATCAGTGCAGACTCGTCGCCATAGTTTGTACTAGAATCATGTACTGTGAGTATGCATGTACCAGTAAACGGCCATGGTTCTGTTCAATTAGGGCGCATAAAATTTGGAAAATTAACCGGGATATCCTTGATGACTGACACTTGAACTGCTGTGTATTTGTGAAGGCAAAGCTGGCTCCATTATTCCATTTTTGTGAAGTGGGTCGTCTAAAATCCAAGCTAAATTACAATGTCGGACTTCCCTGGACATGTTGAGTGGGGTGATCGATCTGGACAGACAAAGACAGAAGCGCGATCTACAGGGCTAAGCACCGACGCGGCCACTCGTGTTGTGCGAGAAACCGGAGATGCCGACGAGCATCGAGCCGCTCGTACTTGAACGAAGCTGTGATGCTGGAGCAATTGAGCGACGCGTGCCGCGTTGACGGCATCGCTCATGGTCTAGGCAGTTTCGCGACCGAATGTCAATTCCTGGTCCATTTTCTTTTTGTTTGTGCCCATTCGGTGCGACTGGTAGTTTAGTCACAAAAAAGAATGCACGTTATGTCGACGTTAGTGCGACAGGCGGCGGCTGCTGATGGTTTTTTCATCATTTGCCACCTTGCGGCGGAGGCGAATCGACTTGAGGTGGTTCGGTGATTCAAGGTACTTGTTGGGTGTGCGCTGACCTGTCACCCACGGGTGCAAGCAAGCTTGTTCGGCGGTGTAGCGCTTCTCCGAGTCAACCTCTAAGGTGCAAGGGATCAGAAGCCATCCATAAACGCATAAAACCTAGAAGGTGGTGCAGGAGGTCCTTGGCGCTATCCGAGAGCCCACTGGACCAGCGTGGGAAACGTAAGCCAAACTTGGCCTATTGTCGTGCAAGGCATTAGCATCCCCTCACCCATCATGCGGAGAATTCCGTACGCGAGCGGCCTTGTCGCTGTTGATCTTGCTGCCATCGTCGTTGAACGGGAGACAGCCGCAGAGCAGCACATACACGATGACACCGAGGGCCCAAACGTCGACAGATTTGCTGTAGCTCTGGCGCCGCAGCATCTCGGGTGCGAGGTAACCCTAAGCACTTCGATAAGCCCTATACAATACTTTAGTAGTGAAGACAAACTCTTGTGCCCAGGAACGAGCGCGTTTGGTTATCGTGCAGGAGCTTGGCAAGGCCAAAGTCAATAATCTTGACCTCAGCGTTCGGCGACTTGCTCGTCAGCAACAGATTTTCTATTTCATGCATGAGCGCAAACATACGCGAATTTCGTTCAGCGACGCTTGACCTGGCTTGAGATCACGGTGAACGACACCGCACGCGTGCATGTAGGCAAGCGCCGACGTGATCTTGCGCACCAAGCAACTCGCTTCAATCTCGGAGAGTGTCCTACGACAATAGAATCATGCTGCGACAACGATTCAAGTAGTACCCTTTGTTGACAATGTAGTCGAAAAGCTCACCGCCTTCCATAAGTTCTGTGACCATCGATATGCGGTTGTCCGTTTGATAGACGTCCTCCATGTGGATGATGTTGGGGTGGCTGAGCGACTGCAACACCTGGATCTCGACCTTCGAGCACAGCTGTAGAGAGACCAACGACTTGAATTGTGCAGCCATACCTGAAACTGCTCGAGGAGGTCGTCACTCTTGCTTTGCACTGCACGCTTGTCAATGATCTTGCATGCGTATTTGGCACCTGTCGCCTTGTCTTCACAGAGGTGGCAGATAGACGTACTGCCATTGCCTAGTCATGCACGCTTTCACAGGTCACAAGCACAGGATCTTCATCGCACCGATGACAGACAGCAGCTTGTACTTGCTGTCAAAGGAGCCGATAGCGTACATCGGGCCGGACGACAGGATCGCCTTGGGTCGCGATCGGTAGATTTCGCCTGAGCCCATGCTGCGGGCCTCCGATGGCTCGGCGCCAGCTGTTTGGGCTGACGGCTTGTGCTTGCGCATAGCGGCCTCGGCCTCGGCGTCGCCAAGGCACCACCCGACGACTTGGCCCATCTCTTCAAACGGCGAATAGACCGAGTGATTAACCGACAACTTCAATTAATACAATGCAGATAATTCATGTTTCTTACTCGTTGTTTGTATGTGTACTTGGTATAGCCTTTTAAATAATGTGGCGACGGAATGACTGTTCCATACAAAAAACAAGCTGAAACATCATATTTTATTTCCAATTGAATCTGCGACCTTCAAGTGCCGATTTAGGCAGAATTTCAACCAATCATCGCGACGGATCATCAGTGCGAAGATCGCGGCAAAGTTCAACCGCAAAGAGGATGGGCAACGTCGCGAGCTGGTGCACAGGCGCGCCGGACCCGACGTCTGTGATCAAGCACGTGACGCACGCTGGCCTCAGCACGACTATGAGCCTTGAAGACGTCCTCGCCATGGATGAGCCATCGCCTACATCAAACATGCCCACCACAGGGCCAAGTACGACGCTCCCAGATGCAACGCCAGTGCCTTCGATTGATCCAACACCGACGACTCACCACGTGTTTGTGCGCCAACGCTCCCAGAGCCTCGGTCATCTGGTCGAATTAGCCGCCGAAAGTGACCACAATAGCGAGTGCATGACCCGGAAGCGCGCAACAAGCATGGACGTGCCACCGACGTCAGTTGATGGCTTCTTGTCGCCAGCCTCATTCGCGGTTCGCACGGTGTCGTTCACACTGCACTTTGGGAAGGGTAGTGTGTACGTCTTCCATGTCCAAGTCGGAAGTGACCCCGTGCTCGTCGTGACGAAGACGCGGCGCGAGTGCAAAAAACTCTATGCGTCTCTGAAGCACTTTGTACGATGCCCGTTACCACCATTTCCTCCCAAGACGGGCTTGCTGCGCTCAAAAGAGGTATCAAACGCGGAGTCGACGTCGTTTATGCAGGACTTCCTGGAGCATTTCCTTGCGATTTCTGCCGTTCGCACCGCGAAGGTCACGCAGGAGTTCTTCCTCTTGCATGCACCATTGGTTCGCCGTCGTCGAAGTCTGCCAAGGCTCATCGGCGATTTGTAGATCTGTCATTAAATGTATATTTCATGCATCACGAAAGCAATAAGTTGTCAATGCGTCGCTTTGGAGTATGATACGACAAAGGTTAACGAGTACTAGTACAGTACAATGTATGTCAGCGAATACTAACTGTTAGCGGGACTTGGACTCCGTAAAGTTTATGGCATTGCTATTGGGTAAATTGGAGTGTTTGCTGGCCCCCACCAACCAGCCGTACGTGTAAAAACAACAAAGCGTTTTTGCGAGCCACTTTGATTGTACTTGTTGTACTTGGAACCTAGCGCCGAACTGATGTGCAATTTGTATCGCGATTTATGTATACTCTAATCAGGTTGGCTTTTTTTAGAATGGTTGCATATCTTGTCCGGATCGAATCCACACACGAGAGTAACATGGGCCAGACACTGAGCTGCTGCCGCTCGAGCGAGGATGAACATGTCGACAAGCCAGCGACTGCGAAGGTGCGTGGCCAGACCATGTCGATGGACAGCGATCCATATGTACTGCTCCTGCGGCCATCGCGAAACCTTGCCGAAGATCCAACAACAGCCAACGACGTCGTCAAGCCTGCACGTCAACGCGCTACAGCGATTGTGCGCGGACCGACTCGTGGCCATGTGCGCAGTGCCAGTCTCGAAACCTTCGAGCTCGAGGTACTGACTAACGCGGAAAACATCGTTAACAACAACGCGCCGTTGAGTGAAAGCGACCTTTTGCTTCCACTACTGTCTCTCAAGCGTCCGCCAGCAGTACTTCTCTCGCCAAGCGTTTCGTGGGAGACTCGTTCTTTTGACGAATGCCCCAGTGTCGGGGACGACGGCGAAGTGCGTGCTTGTGGCACTTCCAACCAAGACGAGACGCCAGCATCATACACCGTGGCTGTCACTCGCTTCTTCCCGATAGAAGACAAGTTTGAGTTCCACGTGACGGTTTTCGACGCAACCGGCGACCGCAAGCTCAAGCTCATTCGTGACCATGTCCGCTGCAAGCGCTACCATAGTTATCTGGAAGATACTGCAAGGCGCCACCGGGTATCCTGCCCCGTGCTGCCGCGCACACAAAAGCAAGACCGAATTCACGGGCGACAGCTCATGGAAATTTACATTGCTGCCGTATTAGCGTCGCCCGTGCTACGTGATGCAAGGTGCTCGCTTAAATACTTTCACGTGCTGCCACCGACGAAGCCCAAAACATCGCCGTCGGCGAAGCGCAGCCCAAGTGAGAAGCGCCAGCCGTGGCGCAACTATGTCCATTCTCCAAGCCACAAATAATGTTCTTGTATGCTTTGTGCGTGGCATTATGATGTCCACTCTCCTGCGCTCTTTTTCGCGTACCTCGAAGTAGCCCTTCGCGACATGGCGGCAACTGCAGGTGTCCCTCGCCGACTTCTCTGCTCCACCGTAGCACTTTAGACGCTCCAGTGCTGCACCGTGGGCCGGTCGCCACTGACGACGCTGCCCCATGTGCTCAACGACTATCTCTCCCTCGTCCCGTCTTTCGCAAAGCGCCTCAGGAACCGCGACAATCTCAAGGAGCTCACCGCCATGGCGCTGAACAAGGAGCTCTGGAGCGTGCTAACCGAGGCAATCGTTGACGCTTGCCCCGACGTCCCCATAGACGCACGACGCTGTCGGATACTTCCTTGCACGTATGCGACAATCCTCCTGCATAGCGCTCACAGCCAGTACTGCTGTGTTGATTTACGCGAATAAACGGCATATATATGAAAGTGTTCCGCGTTTTCTTATTACAAATACCTCCTCACGGTACGCAGAGACTAGCAATCTCCTTCTTCACTCACTCGCTGGGTCGTGGCTGCGCAGGCGATGGCACGGGGGCTCGTCTTGCTCTTCTGTAGTCGCGTTGGGGCGCTTGTGGGCGCGAGTGAGGCCCATGGTGACACGGTTCCTAAAGGCCTTCCAGGCTTCGCCATCGGCGGCAAAGCTACGCAGTTTCTTGAGGTCA